AATAGAGGAAGCTCATTCTATTTCTACTCTAATCACATTTAGCATTTGGGAATAAGTAACCTTGTTTTTAACTTCAGATTAACTAGTTATCAAGTTCCCATTGACAGAATTAAGATACTTTTATGAAAATACATTTCCTTCAGAGGACCTGCTTGATGGGATTCAAACATTTGTCTAAGTAACACTGTTAAACTAAATATTTAATTGATCACATTACACATAAAATATCAATTTTTAACTAGCACTCAAAGTTAAACTCTGGCCATTCCAGACTTAGAGGCAATTTGGTTGAGCTACTCTGCTGAACGTCTTTCTTCATCTTCATAAAATATCCTTTACCTATTTCCTCCTCCTCCTCTTCCTCCTCCTCCTCCTTCTCCTCCTCCTCCTCGTCTCTTCTTCTTCTTGTCTTCTTCCTCTGCCTCGCCGGCTCCCTCTCCCTCTCCCGCTGCGTCTCCCTCTCCCTCTCCTTCTCCTTCTCCTTCTTCTTCTTTTCTTCTTCTTCTTCTTCCTTTCTCCTTCCTCCCTGCTTTCCTCATTGACTCCCTCCCTTCCTTCCTTTCCCGCTTTCTTGCTTTATGCTATTAATATCTCAGAGAAAAAGTGCCTTCATTTTTGCAGAATCTTCACTGTAACACCAATTTTCTTTCCTATAATCAGTGAATAGTACCCTGCTCAGTCAGAGCCCTTACCCTGACAGAGCTAAACTTAGTCATTTGCTTTAGTCAGAACCTTTATAGAACACGTCTACATACATCATATATTTAAAGTATATCTGTCTTGTTCCAAATCTAGTTTTCTGAGGCTGCTTCTAACATCTAACAGAGAAATGTTATTACCTGCCTGCCATGCTGGCTAATAGGGAGTAAGGCCTTCTTTTCAGCTTGTGTAATGTCTTCTGTCTCCTATTCATTGAATCCGTGTTGAGAGCCCCATTCATCTCTTCACACAGCTTTGATCAGTCTCTTTCTCCTCTCAGTCTACAACTTCTACCCCTTGCCCTGATGTAGGCAAACAATTCCATGGTTTTCATTTAGAATACCTGACTGACAAAAGAAGACTTCTGGCAACAACTTTTCTTCAAATGTGCTAATGTGGAAAGGCTTAGCAATAAGGAAAACTCAACTTTTGCCACACTGGGGATCATACCTCTCAGCTGTTTGACATCAGGAAGAATGTTGCATTCACTTCTCATCTAAAAGGTTATTTCATCTTGTAAATAAAAATAAATAACAATTGGGTATCACTCAAATGCTAGGCACTGTTTTAGACACTGGGAATAGTATGACCAGAAAGGAAGAGACATTGCCTCCAAAGAGCTATCTTTCAAATGTAATGTTCCTTTTAAACTGATTTGTCCTACACATATAAGGAGACATGTTGAGAAAGTAATACATATCATTTGCTATTGTTTTTCTGATTTAAGAAGTATTATATGGCCAGGTGCGGTGTCTCATGCCTGTAATCCCAGCACTTCAGGAGGCTGAGGTGGGTGGATCCCCTGAGGTCAGGAGTTTGAGACCATCCAGGCCAACATGGAGAAACCCTGTCTCTACTGAAAATACAAATATTAGCCGGACATAGTGGCAGGTGCCTGTAATCCCAGTTACTTGGGAGGCTGAGGTGGGAGAATCACCTGAACCCAGGAGACAGAGATTTTGCAGTGAGCTGAGATTGTACCATTGCACTCCAGCCTGGGTAACAAGAACGAAACTCCATCTCAAAAAAAAAAAAAGAGCAAGACTCCGTCTCGAGAAAAAAAATTCTATTACTCACTTGTTCAAATGGCATGTTTCTCTTATAAAGTTATAAAGTTTTAGAATCAGCTGTATAGTACCAACCATGGATTAGGATATTTTAAATTTATATTGAATTTATATTGGGCACTGCACAAACATCAATGATTTGGTAAAAGAATAAAGAAGGATGTGAAAGATTACTTTCAAACCCAAAATAAAGAAAAATAATAGGAAATAACAAAAATTAAGGCATCTTTAAAAGCATTAAAGTAGATGTTTTGGATAATTGATAGATAATTGTAGATGTAGAAGTAATTTATGATTCATCAGTGACTTGATGAAATACATAAAATGAAAGCTCACAGTAGCATGCAAAACTTGGAAATATTAATATTTTACCAGAGAGCTAGATTCTTCAAAAATGTAATCTACCAGAGAGCTACATTCTTCACAGATTTAATCTAAGTAGCAAGTACAAGCTATGGGATACAAATACATATTTTTACATCAATCAACAAATTTGAGATTTTTTTTTATTTTTAACCTAACATCACTGGGAAGTAGAAATAAAAGGTTCTCAGTTTGTCCCATGCCACTGGTAGTGCTGGTTGAAGGTGCTCAGCTATAGGCTATCATCTGTAGCTCTCTATTAGGACTGTATTTTAATTCCCTGTAGATTTCAACTAATTGACCTTGAGGGAAAGCTGAGTCTCTGTGACAATATGGTCTTCAATCACCACTGCCAACATAAATAAATGCTTCCTTTCTAGATCCATCAAGAGTAATCTGAGTGGAATTTAAGTTTTTGATAGGCTTTAAAGAAATGAGTCCAGACATGAAATAAGACCCTTTTCAACCAAAATATGTAGGATTTAAGACAGTTAAGATTCATGTAATAAAGTGTTTAACCCTTTCTGTTGGAAATTAGTCAGTTATCTTATTGAAATCTGGACAGTTCCCAAATTGATTTATTCAGTAATGAACTGAATATAGTCTGACAATAACCTTCACTCTCATAAGTGAATGAGAATATCTTACAGTCTAAAAATGTTTTCCATTTAACAGTGTTTTTAAAAGTGTTAAAAATGTTGATAGAAGATTTTTTATTTAAGTTTGTTTGAGTAGCTCCATGGATCACTTCATTTGAAACTAGCACTACTGAAATACGTTACTGATTTTCATGCACATCAATTTCTGTGAGGTTTTGATGCTAATTTAATCAAACAGTTTTTATCATTAGGAATTTAACTATACCTCTTCAGTGATAAGTTAGTGCATTTTCCTTACAGTATGTCCCATTTTCTTTTCTAATTCTCTGTATAAATTATTTAAATTCATATTTTGTTCTATATAAACATTAAAATTTAAAACTTCAAAGAAAAATACAATTTAGAATGCAGCCAATACCTAAGGGATAAATACACCTATACAACATGAGACTAAGAACCAAAGCAATGATAAGCATACTACAGACAACAATGAAGAAGGAAATATCTAATTTTTATTTGAAATAGGTAATTTATCTCAAAATATCTTCTCAATTTGAGCATTCCTGATTAGGTATTTCAAGATTTCAACTCACAAATGATTGTGACTTAAGTACAGACTAGAAATTACATAAAAACGGGACCACGAGAAGCCTTATTTCTTATGTTATATAAACATAAATGTGAAGAACAGATTCTACAAAGTGATTAGGTTTAGATAAAAAAGAGTGATACAGAAGAAAATCAAACCAAAACAGATTCCATCTCTTTTTCTTAAAGTGTGTGCCTATTTATCAATTACTTGAGTACACAAGAGCAATTTTATTGTTCATTTCTCTAACTTTCTAACAAAGTGCACCTGTTAATTTATAATGTTAGGTGATCTAATATGGCTTTTGCTTAGACTCATGTGCTTTTTGTTGATGAATCTATTGATCATATATATTTAAAGCTTTGAGTTAGGATCTCTTGAGAATTCTCAGTTTCTTAATAATTTAGTGGGAAAATGTATTCAATTCAGATATTCTCTCACAATAAAACCAAAATATTCATATTTTGCTTTCTGTGTATCTTAATCTGAATTCACCCACAATTTTACATTTAACATGATTTATTTAATGTTTACTATGAATAATGTTATGAGGGACATCTAGTAAGCCAAGTGTTAATCCTGCCCCAACCCTCAAGTATATATGAACCCAAATGCTTGTATCCTTAATTCAGGGACTTATATTGTCATAATATAACATAGAAGATGATTTGTCCTTGGAAATTTGATTTTACAGAGAAAGGAAATTGTTTTTTAGAAGAACAGAGTAAGATCAATAGGATAGTTAACATTTGAATCAGGTATTACAGAATAAGTAAAATTTCTGTTGTAGGAAGAATGTCTGGAATGGTATAAAATTGAGGGGAAGGGATACCAAGAGAATATCTGGACTGCACATAGGATGTATGAAGGGGAGTTACAAGGAATAATGTCAGAAATGTAGGCATGGTTAGAAATTTTTTGCATAATTATATGAAAACTGAATTATTATGGTCATTGTATTAGATACTTGTTTGGAATCTTGAATTGAGAACTAGAAATCCAGACTTGGATTGAAAATCTAGATATTCATGACCACTATATTTTAGCAAAATATAGTTTATCCATCTTTGAGCACAGTAAAGAGAATATTCTTTTGGAAATAATGGAAAAAATCCCTTCCTTATACCAGTATCAATTGTAGAACAATATGGATAGGAACAGCTTGAGTTAAACAAAATAAACTAGAAATAGTAATTATCATACTAATGATAGTAACCAATACTTACATATTGCTTACTAAAGCCAGAGACCTCAAAATCTTTTTACATATGTGAACTTAATTTACATGTATTTTCCAAACTAGGAAACTAGGGCACAGAAAAATTAAGTCTTGTACATGATAACATAACTAGTAATTGTTGGAGCAGGTATTTGAAACCAATACTGGCATCAGATTTAAAATAAGGCAAGAATTCACAAATATCCACCCAAACCCAATATAGCCAGTTATGGTTTAAAACTATCTTTAGGTGGACATCACAAAACACATATCATTATTATCCCTCTTGAGGGGTGAGGGAGCTGAGGTATTTATTCACCAACTCTGGTTAGTTATTGGTTGACGGATGTTTCTGGGGACTCTCCAATGCTTCCAGCCTGCACGCAGGAGACACTCAGGGGAGAGTGGCAGGTGCTTGTAGTAGCAAACCATCTCCTTGCATGGGAATGTTGAGTACTTAGACGATGTGGGTCAGGCACCAATGGTATCTGTACAAACGTTTAAAAATGTGAGTTTCACAGCACTTAATAAATTTGCAATGATGTGTTTCTTCAAATATATATATATAGTTAGGGAGAGATTTTTAAATGCAAAATGAATTAAGAATAGTGAAACAAAAGCAACTTTTGGTAGAAATTTTCACTAAAAAGACATGGATTTAAAACAAAAAATATATATTTATTCAATTAATCATAACTCTGAATGAAGAATGAAAATAATTAATATCTCTTTTAGATTCTAGTTCACCCAGTAGAAATACTTTTTTTTTTTAGTACCAGCTCTATTAATCCTCTAGGAAAAAGGAATCTCTACACTATAGGATGGCAGTCTCATTGTCCTTTTATAGGTGGACCACGAGCCTGTCACTAAATCAGATATAGTGTGCTTAAATTTTATGAATCACAGTGGAATATTATTTTCTGTTGTTGTGAAAGTTATATCCACACAGCTGAAGAGTTTCTGTGTCCATGTGGTGGCAGGAAAATAGATCTTGTTAATCAAAGCATCTCAGTCATTTATATCTTAAGTTCAGTTAATCAGAATTTGCCCAAAACAACCCTCTGTTCTTTCCTATTTCTGAAGAAAAAGATAGCATTGGAGAACTGGGCAACAAGTTATCTTAAGTGAGCTAGATAGTATGTGTGGTTGTAGCCCATAGTTGTCTTTCTTTCTTGCTGGTCTCTGCTGAGGGGTAATTACTTTCAACAAAGATTGATTGTTGCTTCAGTCCCCACTGCATCCATTACTATGTCAGACATATTTCCAGGGCCTCCAATATTCAGACATTCTATTTTCGCTTCCCCAAATCAAGGATTCTTCTCATTTGATAGCCCTTTCAGCCATCTCCATATCCATCTAGAGTCAGGAATTCTTTCTTGCTTTCTTTAAATCACTCTTAAGCTTATTCACCAAGACTCTTTGTTAACCACTGCTACTTTGTCACTTAGATGCCCTGTTTGGTAATGGGATAGTCTACCACCTTATGTTTACCCTGAGAAGCTAGAAGATACAATATCTGCTTCTGCTTGGGGGCACTCAACATTAATTGAGAATTCTATCATTCTGCTTTGTTTTACCTGCTTCAGCACTCCCATATATTTCAACAATTCCGGTATTGTAATGAAATATACTTCCTTTTAACTCATGTTTCCTTCATCGAATACACCTCTTTCTGACCATTTTTATATGTATTATGCTATGTTTTTCAATCTAATTATTTTCTTTTGTTCATTCTTCAAAAAACATAACTTCTTATAAAAATTCTTCAAAGAATATAGTAAAATCCTTAATATTATTTTAAACTTAAAACTTTGAAAAAGTCATATGTTCTTTACTTCCTTTCATTATATTTTGTGCCTTTTGTGTTTTTTGCAGTGCTAATTTGTTGTGCATGACATAAGTGTTATTAATGATACACACATCTCTAAGTTTGTGCGTGTTGTGTAATCTATTTAGTTGTTAAAAAAATATTTGTTTTTTCAATGTATAAATAATTTGGCCAATGATTTGTCACAAAAAATAGGTCTAAAATATGGAAATAGTTACAATTTGTTGTTTTTGTGTATTTATCCAAATTCACTCATTAAACAATACTGAGGCAATGTGATGTCACTTTTCATGGATTCACTCTGTCTGGTTCAGCACTTTCTATAGATAGAGGAAATGTTTTTAAAATCCGCATTAACTCTTTTAGACCACTAAATACTATGCAATATATTAAAAAGTGACCTATTTTTAATGTGGTATCCTAAGTGCCCAACATTTTCAGGCATTTATGATGACATTTATAATAACAATAATACCTTTTTGGCTGGAGGAAGAAGCTAAATTATTTGCTATGTTTGAATCCAAATAGTATAATTTCAAAAAAATTAAAGGAAATTTAAAATAATGATCACATATTAAAGGCATAGCACATTTAAATTATTTATTTATTGTAATTTTCTGATTTTAATCTACACTTCTTTCAGAATTTGCTGTCCACTCTGACTCACAATGCATTTAACACAATCTCTATTGCAGGTTACTTAGTTATAGAAAATCCATCAAGTAAGTTTGTTAATATTTTTTCTTCTTTTTGAACATTAAAGTTAGATGTACTGACTCAGTAGAACCTTAATGTGTGACTCACTCTTTGTATGTTTGCTGGAAAAACCTCCAAGCTGGATATAAATCATAAAAGCATGACTAATTGCATGGTAACTGGAGAAATGCTTTCTCTCTCTCTGGGGTGAAGCCTGCATGTCTGTATTTTAGCTTGGGAAGTAATACGGGGATATTTAAACTCCTCAGGGTTTAAAAACCATGTCATTATGAGAATGAGGTCACTGCAATATTTTATATCTTCTAAAACCTTGTAATGTATAAAATGTTTTCTGTCTGACAAAGAGGTATTATGTGCTTTAGGATTCAGTGATAACTTTATGCTCTTACATTTACTTGAAAAACTTTCTTCATTAAAGTGCTAAATCCTTCATTTAATGTCACTAAAATATTGAAGGAATTTTGTACCATGAATACAAAGAAAGTGAGCTTAAAGAGGAAAGGTTAACTTTATAAATATAACAAAGTGACTTTAAAGGGCTGTGTTATTTGTGATTTTCGAGAGGTCCATTGTTCTTTAACTTGTTAACAGTGAAGCCAGTGCCAATGTTAAAGCGAACAAATACAATCTAACATGACCCCATTTTACACCTTTCTTTACTTGGAGGCCAATAAGCAAGAAATCCTTCCTGCAACATGTTGAAGAGCTTTGCACAAACAACAACCTAAAGTTTCAAGAAGAATTTTCGGTATGTTACTAGCAGTTGTCACAACATTGCAAGACCTCCAGTCGTTTCATGTGTCACATTTCATGTCCATTTTAAGCATGCAAGGCCATGAAGGACTCTGGCCTTGATAATCAATACCCAATTACCAGGTTGATTGTTTTGATAGTAATGTTACACTGGGCAGCCTATAGTGCAACCTAATCAGAATTATTCACCTACTGTGTCAGGAAAGGTGCTCTTCTTCAGACCTCCCCTGTATTGGCAGCATGACCTTGTCTCTTCTTTGCTCTTTCATCCAGATGTAGGTGCAAATATAGAATGATGTATTCATTCCTTTTTGTTTGTACTTAAGGTTTAGGTCAGACTATACATGCAGTTTTATATTTAAGTAATTATTTTACATTTAGATACTAAATTATTTCATTTTATATTTACCCACTTGGTTTACATGTGTGATATAGATGAATGTGAGACCAGAACTTGATGCTTCCAGAAACTATAAATAAAAATTATTTCTAGAACTGTCCAAAAATTAAGAAAAAAAACAGAGAAGTAATGTCCATGTTTTATAGGGACCTTTTAAATATTACTATGGAATAAATGCTGTATCATATAGTGAAAATATATAAAATTAAAAATTTGTCACTTTAAATCTACTTAAAAGTTGGGAATAGTTTTATTGTTTTTAACATTATGTATATCTATATAATTGAAATTATTTAAAAACATAAGGTGATGTAAAATCTGCAAGCTACTTTAAGACTTATAAGTATCTTTTCTAACTTAGATGATTTTTTTAAAAAAAGACAGACTTCTAAATACCACCAAAAAACATTATTTCTATTTTTTTTCCATGAACTTCCCAGTGTGTGAACTTCTGACACAAAGAATAAAACAATCAGTTTAAATAATTCAGAATTATAATATTTCAGTCTCTTAGGGAATAATAACAAAAATGAGAAAAGATTAATTGCATTTCCTGCGGCCTTTTGGTTATGCTTCTTAAGTAATATTTGTCTGGACTTAACAAAATCAATGGTGCCGTAAAATTATTCCTAGCATTTAGACAGCAAGAACTCTCAATTTTTCAGGAGCCAAAGTGTAATTTTACTAGAATAAGAGCGAATATAATTACATTATGCATGACCAAGTAGATAAAACGTTTTATTAGCAATAACAGTTTCACATATACTACATGAGAAAGTTTCTACTTTAACTTTTTTGAAGACCATAGTTTTAAGAAGAATTTTTTTAAAATTGTATTTTTCTCTAATGCTTTATTGAGAATTTTTAAATGAAAATTATTAAATTACTATGTTCTAATAAACACATTTTTGATGCATATATGTGATAAACATTTTAACTTAGGACATATTCACTGACACCTTAAATATGTATAAGTTCCTACTATATAATAGGTATTGTATCTGGCACATTGATATATTAATTCAACACTTACCAGCTAAGTGACTTTGGGCAAATTACTTAAACTCACTATGCCTCAATATCTTCGTTTGTAAAATGATAATATCTGCTTTATTAAATTAGGACTATAAAATGATTGAATATAAGCAATACTAAGAACAGTAGCTGGCACAAGTATTACCTATTATGATGATAAATTTCTACCATGAAGAAGTTCATATTACGGTAAGAACTGCAGATGTGGATAAAAATTGCAAATATACTGTATCATGATGAAGATAGGCATAAAGATTGAGGATAAAATCTGTTTGTATATTAACCAGAAAAGACTTCATAAAAAAGGTGGCTTTTGAGATAACCTTTAGGCTGAGCAGAAATCCAATGAGAAGGTAAGGGAAAAAAGGTGTTCCAGAGGGAAGAAAAGGATAAGAATGCAAAAGCAGTCTAACTCATCTGTGGTCCCACTAAAAAGAGAGGAAACAACAGGAGAAAGAGCTAAATAGGGAGATCTGTGGCCTTGTGCACCCTGATAAGCATAAGACTGCGCAGTATACCATTACCATCCAATCAACCTGGTGTTTGAGCACTGCTTACCAAAGCCAGAGCTGCTTAAGTCTAAAAATGGAAACTTTTATGTGAAATAATTATAAAATATAAGTGCTCTTTTAGTTCATTTAAACTCACCTTTTTTCTCCCTTCTTTATGTATTTCCAAAACTTTGACACAAGGAAGCTCTTCTAGGACACCTTATTGGGTTAAAAAATTGTTTTTTAAGCCTTTGGTGCCAACATGTCAGAATTCAGATCTTATACCATTCCTGTCCCTTAATACATGCCCACATGTAAACAATTGTCCAGATTTTATTTTTGAGGAAAAATAAGGAAGGGAAATTTATCCAATTAAAAGAAATAATTTATGTTGATGTTGAAAAATTGCTAAAACACACATTGTTAGTGCTTTTTATGGAATTTGGTAAGTTGAGATTTCTAAAATGGAAAACTGTAAATTTCACAAATGTAAATTTTAAGCTTAACAAAATAATAAACATATTGTCTTATAGCAGACTTTTTAATGATGCTTGCTTTGCCAAGAGCAAGGTAGATGGATAATATCATAATTTTTCATCAAATGCCAATAATAGATCTTCTTGACCCTTCATCTGCATCTGATAATTCTTCATCACACCTTTGCATTCCATTATTGATTTAACAATGCCTACTGAGAACAGGAATTGACCTCTGGCATCTTCTCAAACTGACCAATGTTGTACCAATTAATAGGCATGAAATCACACTGCCTGAGGAGAAAAAACAAAAAATAAATCATTGAAATCCCTCTTCCTCCTAAGTAGACATTAAAATATTAAACATTAGTGTGTACCCAATGACACATTCATAACATATGGAAAATGGTCACTAACATGATTGCCACAGCTTAAGCCTTCCCAAAGTGCAAAGAAATTATCTCAGGAAGGCCAATAGCCCAACTGACCAACTTCAGGATATTTGTGGTGAAAGCTTAAACTCATTACTGTTAACTTGACCTTGTTTCCACAGTTACGATAGGTGCTTTTAAATGAATTATTTTTAAGGTTTAGAACAAATAACTCTCTTTTAATTAGTAAAATTTCTTGTTTACCTCTGTTAAATGTAAATTTTGCAATGACTTTATTTTACAGGAATTACCAAAATTTCTTCAGGATCTTTCTTCAACTGATGCTGATCTGCCTTGGAATAGAGCAAAAAACCGCTTCCCAAACATAAAACCATGTATGTACACTTGTTGGTTTTGGTTTCAATAGGAAATATTTTTGAATGACTACCATCTTAACTTTTTATGTTGTTGTTTCCTTAATATGTTTTATTTTATATTAATTGAATTATAATAATGTATTCTATTGGCAGCGACTATCAAATTATATTTCTTTCACTTTGTTCATATTTATTTAAAGTTAGTATACCTGGTTTTCAGTTTGTTCACACAAGTTCATTTATGCAGGTGCAAGAAACTGTAGACCTAATGGTTTCTTAGCTTTGTAATTTAACCCAAGTAACCTGTTTAACATCTTCCTACAGACCTAGCATCAAATGCAAAGAGAAAATTTACACTTAGTTTTGTGCATTAGTTTCCCTTAAGAGCATAGCAGTGTTTCCTATGGAACATAAAATAATGCATTGTAAAATATTCATTGACGTTCAGAGTAAATGTGCACTTACATGAATTCGTTTTACAGATGAAGCAGGATTGTGCTTCACCGTAGTAAACACAGCTTCATTTTTCTTTTTTTTTATTTGTGGAGGGGAACCAAAACTGCCCATTTTTTGGGGGGGGGAACTGAAACTGCCCAACATTTTTCAATCAATAAGAAAAGAAAGTATTATTTCTTAAAGAATTAACACGCTGGGCACGGTGGCTCACGCCTGTAATCCCAGCACTTTGGGAGGCCGAGGAGGTTGAATCACGAGGTCAAGAGATCGAGACTATCCCGGTCAGCATGGTGAAACCCTGTCTCTACTAAAAATACAAAAAATTAGCTGGGCGTGGTGGCACGTGCCTGTAATCCCAGCTACTCAGGAGGCTGAGGGAGGAGAATTGCCTGAACCCAGGAGGCGGAGGTTGCGGTGAGCTGAGATCGCGCCATTGCACTCCAGCCTGGGTAACAAGAGCGAAACTCCATCTCAAAAAAAAAAAAAAAAAAAAAAAAAAGAAATTAAAAAAAAGAATTAACAGTGATGTGAAAGGAAAATATGACTTTTTCTGTTACTAATAGGTATATGTTTAATATTATATTTTTGAACAGGTATCCCAATTATCAGTATTCTGATTCAATACATTTTACACTATGAAATTAAAATGTAATACTGTGATGTCCTGAAACATGGTTTCAAAGTCTAGAGTTTTAAAATGTTCCCAGTTTTAAAGATAATATGCACCTGCATGTATATATTTTTTTCTATGCCTTTTAAAATGTATATGGGGGAAATTGCTATAACTCTTAAAACTTGAGCTCTTCTTTCCAAAAAGACATAGACCTAGAGAAGGACGTAATCACAGAGAGTCAAATTGTAAAGGACATGCATAGGAAGAAACAGACCAAATTCTGATATTATGGAACTAGAGAACAACTTATGAAGTTCATGAAGGAAACAAATTTAAGAAAACTGATATGGGGGTAGTAATCTAATAGAATCTGTTAATTTCTAGGAACTGGAATAGGATGAAGATACAAATAGCTTTAACCACCTAAATCCTTTCTGCAATGAAACAAATCATAAGTAAATGATTTTAAGAGCAAGATGACAAATAAGATTTTGTTTTAGGAAATAAACATTCATAATTCTCTCCCTCCCTCCCTCCCTCCCTCCCTCCCTCCCTCCCTCCCTCCCTTCCTTCCTTCCTTCCTTCTCTCCCTCCCTCCATCTTTCTCTCCTCTTTCTTTTTCTCTTTTCTTTCTTTCCTTCTTTCTTTTTTCTCTTTCTTTCTTTCTCTCCCCCCTCCCCTCATCCTCTTCCCTCCTCCCCTCTCCCCCCCCGTCCCCTTCCTCCTCCCGTCCCGCTCCCCTTCCTCCTCCCCTCCCCCTTCCCCTTTGCCCTCCCCTCCCCTCTTTCCCTTTGCCCCCCCTTCTCCTTCCCCTCCTTTCTTTCCTTTCTTCCTTTCTTTCTTTTTGGAGTTTTGCTTTTATTGCCCAGGCTGGAGTGCAGTGGCAAAATCTCGGCTCACTGCAACTTCCACCTCCTGAGTTCAAGCAATTCTCCAGTCTCAGCCTCCCAAGTAGCTGGGATTACAGGCACGTGCCACCATGCCTGGCTAATTTTGTATTCTTAGTAGAGACAGGGTTTCACCATGTTTGCCAGGCTGGTTAAATTTCGAAGACCAGAACCTTTTATTCTTCCTTTTAGAGAGTTAACCTAGATTGGGTACAATGTAAGTTTAAAAGTCATGGATATTCCCCCCCCCCCCTTTTTTTTTTTGAGACGGAGTCTTACTATGTCGCCAGGCTGGAGTGCAGTGGCACGATCTCAGCTCACTGCAACCTCCTGAATAGCTGAGACTACAGGTGTGCGCCACCACACCTGGCTAATTTTTTGTATTTCAGTAGAGACGGGGTTTAACTATGACCAGGATGGTCTCGATCTCCTGACCTTATGATTTGCCGCCTCGGCCTCCCAAAGTGCTGGGATTACAGGCCTGAGCCACCGTGTCCAACCCCATTCCCATGTTTTTATATTTATCTGCACCTAAATTTAATCCAAACTGCTTCATGCTTATTTGGTGGTATTCTATGAAAAGAAATAATATAATCTGATTAAAGGACAGTTACTGTGGAATACTTAGTATTTTTTCCATTGCATAGAATTAATGTATAATATATCAGTATGTATAAAGTAATTCAAATACGTCTTACTTATTTCCAAGGAGTGTCTAATTTTAAATATGTAAAATTTGATATATTAGAAAGTTTTTTTACAGTGTGATTTTTCAATCATTTATTAAGATGTCAGTCCATTATTATCTGGGTTCCCTTTATGACTACAAGAAATGTTAAACAATTTTAATGTATTACAAATAGGATGAGAAGAGAATAAGAGTGGTTGATGGAACTAAACAATCTTAAAATAATAAAAGGGACTGAGGAGTATGACTACCCCAATTTTCCATATTCAAATTAATAAGATTTCCTGGGTTACAAACCTGTTTCCCCACTAACTACATTAGTGACTCTGAACATATTATTCAGTGGTCTATACCCCATAAGAGTATTGTAAAAATTAGATGAAATAAGGCTGTCGATCACTTTGTCCAGTACTGGAACACAGGAAATACTCAACATATTAGTTCTTATCTCACTGGTTAATAGATCACTTCCTTTTAAGAGCTGCTAACTTTCTGGGTGAATAAGATTAATTCATAGGCATTTAGGCTACTGTTTGGAGACAATAAGCCCAAATCTCTAGCCTGGGTTAGAAACCAAGCTGTAAACTCACAGCCACATCTATTCCATTGGCAAGTACACCTTTCTCTCTCTCTCTCTCTCTCTCTCTCTCTCTCTCTCTCTCTCTCTCTCTCTCACACACACACACACACACACACACATGCACACACACACTAGAAACAAGCAAATAAGATGTTTAAACTAAGTAGATTCTCCTATTGTGCTTGCAGAGAATGCATAAAGCTGAAGAAAATTTATTTTCCCTATAGAGATTGAATTCATTTTAATAGAATTTGAATTTTAGCTTGAGCCACCTAAATTAAGTGTATTGTTTCTCTCCCCTGAGTAATGCAGAAAGTAGAATGCCAAATATCACAGTAGGTTTTAGATGACATAAGCTTATAACACTTTTAAGATACTGAAGTTCGGAACAAATACTTGCAGAAGAGTTTCCAAATCTCCATTTGGCAGACAACTATGACCTTCGGAAATATTCCAATACCAGGAAGAAAAGCTTAGCTTGTTGTTGACTCAGATAATTATAATGAGGTATATCTAGTGAATGGAAGCATAATGATTCTCTTCCTTAGTTACAGGACTAGTTACAATGTCATTAAAATAAATCATATAAAATTCCATAACTTTAGGACATAAATCATTTGCAGAAATGTGTTTAATCATTCCCATTTCTAACCGTAACCACAAGGGGCAAGCAATTGTAATTACTAACAATACAACTAATTCATTTTAACAAATTATATGTTTAAGTTTTAAGAACCCAAGAACATGTATTGAGTGACTATTATAAGCTTTCATGTAAATTTTCTTCAAGAGGGTTATACAAAATCTATGTTATAATGACTTCTTATAGCTGAGGTAACCAAGGAACAGAGAAGCTAAGCAATTTACCCAGGGCCAAATGTATGGTAAGCAGATCATCTGGATTTCAGACCCAATCCTTTTCACCCATTTTTCCTCCTTGAAAACAAACAAAAACCTGTCAAAACAATTAGTAGTGGATATTTCATGTCATTTCCATGCTTAGTTAAAATTATTACTGGCCGTTTCAATTATAATATCAACTTGGTACTTTCTCAGGAAAAAATAATTTCTGACATTTTTCTTTGATGAAAAGTAAAGAGTACAAGGTATCTAATTTTACTAGGTCTTAAAATATTCTAAAAATAATAATTAGAAATCTGAAAGAAAGAATAGGCAGATAAATTAATGGAAAAGTATAAATGGTCTAGAGATATATCTAACTACCTAGAAAATAAAGTGGTGTTTTGAATCGGGGAGAAAAGATGAAATGTTAAAAAACTGATACTATTTGTTGTTCCAATGACAACGGATAAACAATAAAAGATATATCTATACCTCATTCCTCAAAAACAACAACAAAAAAAGTCCCAATTGGCCAAAGTTTGAAATACTTAAAACCAGAAAAATCCATGAAATTTTCAGAAGAATCTATGATTGTAAAAATAATAATAATTTGGTATGACAAACAACTTTGACAAGTGGTACAAGAAGCCAAAGTGAAAAATAATGAGAAATTTGATTGCATAATAATATAAATTTTTATATGGCAAAATTGATAGATAAAATCAAGGACAAATGACAAACTAAAAAGAACATTTTAATTTATACGAATGACAGAAGGCTCTACAAAGCCTTCTGTTTTTAGCATAGTTTTTTAAAAAATTAAAATGAGAAAATGTGAAATGCCATTAAAGTGGTCAATAAACATAAGCAAAACAGCTCAGTTTCTCTTGTATTTAAGGAAATCAAAATAAATACCATGAGACATTAATTTGTATCTGTCAAAAGAACGTAAATAAATTAAAATGTTTAATAATACCTTGTGATAGTGAAAGTAAGAGAAAACAGAGTTTTTCAAACACGTTGGTTCAGAGTATTAATTCAGTTAGAGAACAATTTAGAAATATTTTTCAAAATTTGGAATGCATATATATAATTTGAAAATTGTACTACTGGTAATATAGTCTACAAATATACTCCTACATATATACAAAATTTTAATGATGTCTGTTCAGCATTTTATAATCACGAAGTGGATCATTTAAACAATAAAGGGTTAAATAAGTATGTTATTGTATATTCAAACAGTGAAATACTGTATAGTTTTTTAAAGTAATGAGCTACATATCTTTGCTTATGTTGATATAGAAAGATATATATATAAATAAAAAACCTATTTGCAGAATGGACTGTATTTCACTCCATTTGTAGCTAAAGAAAATTAGAATGCAAAGAATATGTTTAGAAAATTCTGGAAATATATACAAGGACATATTAATAGTCTTTGTCTCTGGGTAGTAGAAATATGGGAGAAGAGATAACTTTTTAAATTTACCACCATCTGTGAAGTTGGCATGTTATATTATGAACTCCTTTGTATTACATTTATAGTAAAAAATAATTAGTAACAATGTAAAAAGCCAATTAGCATTGATTCCTTATATTTTCTTCTAGATAATAATAACAGAGTAAAGCTGATAGCTGATGCTGGTGTTCCAGGTTCGGATTATATTAATGCCAGCTATATTTCTGTAAGTTAATATTATTATATATTTTATACTTGTATAAAACATAACTACTGAAACTGTGTCACCTTTTCAATTACTTAAAACAACAAATTCTTCACAACTCCTATGGACCTTAATATGCTAGCTATTTACAACCTCATGTTTTACCCTTATTTTAAAGATGGGTATATGGATATGCCTAATAGAGATTACTAACTTATCAACAATTATTTCACCAGTTTGAGGCAGATGTTCAACTTCAGACTACATATCCCTGTATCTTTCTACTAATTCATATATTTTTTAATGTATTCTCCATCCACAATGAAGTCTGCCAATCTCTGTGAATTAAAAATGATAAATGGACAGCTATGTTCATATACTATAAAAATCTATTATGCAGCTCTTCCCTTCTAGATTCGCAGTCCTTCAAGGGGGTGACAACACTGTCACCATAGTTACATTGAAATTTTGTATGCACCCAAGACCTCTGCTTGGTTTGCGCATTCATGGAATCTTAAATAAGGAAGTGCCCTTAATTTGACCATTCACCTTGGAACTCTGTTCCTGTCAGCCTCTCCTAGCATTGTTCACTCACTTTTTCCTAAGTTGTGAACAATATAGGAACTGATTGTTCATTTCCTAAGAATCTGAACAATTATTCTCTCTCGGAACAACTCTATTTTACAGTTGTTGTTTCTGCTTTTTTTTTTTTTAAACCAAGTTATGTCTCTTTATCTTCTTACCCACTGACGTCATTCTAATGCATAGCAAGTTTAACCATCTTTATTACAGTGAATCTACAAATAGAGGAAGATTCCCTCTGCTGCCCACACTCTCCAGAGGCTTTTTCTTATTCATAGGTCTTCTCACCCGTACCTGCTATTTCCTTCAGTTCTATTAAGGCTCTTGTTATATGATGTTTCACCCTTTCCCCAACATCAAACATACCTGTGGTGTGTCCCAGTGCCTGCAAGCCTTTGTCAAGGGTGAACAAAAAGAATTCATTCTAAATTCTATATTGGTTGATAATTCATCTAAAATTACAATCATATATTGGATCCTATTGTCAAAGGAGTAACTAATGGGAGAATTTAAGACTTTTCAACCAGAGAAGTGAAGGAAAGTTTGGAGAAGCTAAGGTATTCTTTAAATTTTATTCTATTTTTATGCTAGAACTTTAAATATGTATTTAAAGAGTTACATGTATATCTTATGAATTTACTATTATTGTAATATTTTATTCATTTATCAAATGATTGATTCCCTTAAAAATGTAATTCTTCTGTAAACATTTTGGTGAAATCTTATGCTTACTAATTTCCATTGTAATCTAAATTCTACAGCATGTTGAAGTTTTACTTGGATTTGCAAAATGATGCGTATGTGCATTTAGATATTTAAATTTAATCACTACTCTAATAATCAAATGCCATCAAGCAGAACAAGGACAACTGGTTGTATCAGTGACCTATTGATTTGTATCATTTTTTATTTACCAATAAGTAGATACAAATCAACAGCTCCTATTGTCTAATGTTCCATCAGGGATGACAGTACGGGATATGGCTATAATTAAGAAGGAAACCAGACAATTTTAGTACGTGTAGCTGAACCACACAGATTATATAAGCAAAGTAATTTTCACAAACCCCTAGTGTCCCGTTTAAATATTATAGGTTGTCAGCAGACAGCTATGAACAAATGATAACACGGTATGAGCAATAAACTAGGAAGCCTGAAGATATATATTCTGCTATAATCAAGTGCTGTTGTAATATAATAAACCTTACAACAAAGTCCCTATGACCCAATGTAATGATATACATAATCAGTGCTGAGCTGCATGGCAAGCAGGCTCAGATGGAAAGTACTTTACAAGAAGGCAGATTTCCATATTGGGGCTGGTAGTGTACTGTAGCACTCAGAGAAATCTCCTTTGCTTGGGATGCCAGGAATAAATGAGAATAGATATAGCAATGATACTGTAGTGGCCCTTACTTTCCACCTACATATTCACACAATCTGCACTTCATAAAGAATGTCTGATATCTCAATTTCCCCTTACTCCCAAGTTTTGTTCTACAGCACCTCCAACTAAAAGTTTATAAACACTTGTACCAGGAGCAAAAGACAGGCCATCTATAAATGGATTCTCAGTTTCAATTTTCTTTGGAAGCTATAGCAAAGGGAAGAGAACTATAGAAGGAGGTAGGAAAGAAACAAAATAACTAGTGTTCAGATAGGAACACTGAAATCTGGGGAAGAGACAGAGGAGGACCAGCACATGGTCTGAGGGATGTATGTTAAGACTGGGATATTCCAGCCCAGGGTTTGTAACTCGGTTAACATGCCGATGTGTGTTTTCCTCTGCCCTTGGCCATTCTCAGGAATGGTGCTCCCAGAGTTAGGATTTGAGAAGGCTGGAAGATTTTTGATGAACGATAGACTGTGAAAGAGGTAGGAAGAAGTGATATTGCAGCCCCATAATCTGCCACCAACTGTACAAATGAGTTTAGAAATGTTTTCAAGAGAGTCAAAATTGAAAATACTATGATTTTAGGTATAAGAGGAAGACTCTGACCCCCTCCCAAATTATCTCTACTGTCAACTTGAGATGCCTGCAACTACTATAACTCGATGACAGCTTTTAACACAACTAGAGATTAAAGGCTATCATGCAAATGGTTGAAGCAACATCAGAAACATTAGATTTGTTCCCACATTGATAGAGCATTATAATACTAAAGAATATTGTGTCACTGAAAAAGTGAAATAAAAACATCTAGGAGATACATTTTATAAATCAAAAACAATTAATTAATATGAATTGTCCTCTCCTCTTTGATCCCTCCACACTTTGTATATTTAGCATAGCCCTTTTCATATTCTAATTTGTAGTGATCTCATTTATTAATTGCCTTCTCTGTGTGAGGAAGAGCATAAGGTACTGGGCACTATATGAGGGTGAACATGTATATTTCCTCTTATCTAAGTACTATGTAAGGGTGGAGATTCCGTCTTCATGATCTTACTATCAATCCTTCAGTATGCATTGAGGACCCCTAAAACACATACATATAAAAACACAAACACACATGCATATTTATATGCATTATTTATAAGGATTTGCTAGACAGTTTGGGAGATATTAAGATGAAGTATCTGCTTTCAATGGTATTGTAATCATGTAAGATGAAAAAATACTTATATACACACACATATGTGTGTATCTATATATAAATATATTTGTATATGTGTAACAGTTATATTTTTATGTGTATATATGTTTGTGTTTATGTCCAATGTGTAATTCGTGAATAATTAAAATATGATTTAGTAGCAATAAATAAAGTAGGGTTGATTATTATTTCTACTTTATCAGTGTAGAAATTTCACTCAAGTTTCAGATCATACAGCTACAAAAATCAGAGAAGGAATTTGAACTCAGGTCCATTTGAACTCTCAAGCATATGTATTTACCCACCTAAATATAATCCTGTATATTTATAAATTATTTAGAAATATATAAATGTATATACATTTTATACTTGTGTGTATAGATATGTATATCTATCTCCAACAAAAGTTCAGGCAAGAAGTTTTCTCTCAGAAAAAGACAAAAGTTTGCACATACATATGCAAAGATAGAAGCAGAAATAGTAAACGAAATTGACATACTTTCTTCATTTTCATAGGATGTAATGAAAATATCTCCAAAACACACCTTTGGGCAAACATTTTAACTGGTGCTTTACCATTTTATAAAATAGAAAACTTAAATGTGTCTTAGCTTCTTTACATGAGAATCAAGAGGGAAATGTGACCATATGAACATATATTTAAATAACAGATGATACATAGATATATGTATTAAAAACAAATATAAAATAATATTTCAAGTCCTGGCAAACTGAGATCATATAATATTGGTTTTGTAAATAAGTGGTAATATAGGAATAATCCCAATTATTTATATATGTGTATATATATAACATTATATGGTACAATATTTAGTATATAATATTATATGGTACAATGTTTAGTATATAATATGTGATATATAGTCTATATTACCCTGTGTGGAACCTACTCCTTCCTTACAAGTACAGCCTTTCTGGCCTTGCTCAGAATGGGTCTGTACTCCCTTCCATATGTACTCAGCATAGAGAAGGGCTAAGTTGCCTCAGTCCTCAGTGCCACTTCCACCTCATTCTCTATCCCTCTGCCCTAAAATTGCCAGCTTGAAATCATGTCGCCAAGCATAGGACACACTATTGCTCTTTTTGGAAGTTAACTACCATCCCCTACTTTTTCTCATTTCTTAAAGATTTTACTTCAGGATCACTGCTCCTCTCTCATCACCGCTTCTGTCAAAGTATTGATAATGTCAAAATTCATGTAAAATATTGACCCAAAGTTCTGCCCATTACTTTCTGGACCTCTTATCTGTGGTGACTTGTCCTCCACTTGACCTCATCACTTTCTTCCATGTTCACAACCTAGACCTTTTCACCATCAAGAATTGTAGCCGCTCTATGAAATTGATTGCAGATATCTTACTATCTGTCCAAATCTTTCTTTCCAGATCACTAGACTTTGATAATTCTTCAACACTGCTCTGACCTACAGCCCTTTGATTAAATCAAATTTTCCATTTTTCCTAACCCAATCGAGACTTTATTTTTTTTCTTGCTCAGTTTGAATTGCATGCTTATTTGTTTTCTTTCCTGTATTATATATATTCTCAACTCTCAAATTTATCTTTTATAGTCTCAGTCTTTTGACAAATTCCCAAACTTGACTAACACACTCCATGGATTCTTCTCTGTGTTACTGAATGCATCTTGGAGAAAATTTCATGACCACACCAAAATATCTCACTTTAAACTGACAGCCACTAGCCTCAAAAACACAGCCTCTTAATCTATTCAATCTCCCTTTCTTCTGGGCTACTATTTTATTTCTTCTTTCTCCTTCATTTTCACCTACATCTAATGGCCTTATTTATTATTTCACTGATGAAATGGAAGCAATTAAAACAGAACATCCACAAGGTCCCCTACCTATCTGCATCTGTGTCCTCATTCTCAGTCTTTCTCATGTGAACTGTCCTAGCCCCTGATAATAGCCAACCCTACCACTTGGACACTACATGACCTCTCCCTTTGCCTCTGAAGAACATGGGTTGAGGAATTCTCTCTTCTGCATTATCAATTTTTCTCTTTTAGCAGCCAAACAAATCTATTGTAATTTCTTACATCATAAAAATATCTTGATATTGCAGCTCCCTCTCTACTTCTCTATTGTTCTGTGTCTTATTTACATCAGAGCCCCTTGAAGAATTGTCAACACTTACTATCTTCAATTCCCTTCTCTTATCTCTTCAGCACCCTCAAATAAGACCTGGATACTAAGCAAACCCAACACCAAACCAGCTATTTTCAAGGCCATCAATTAACTACTCAGAAAACTAGTCTCAAGTCTCATTCCCTAATTTATTTGACCTTTCAGCAGATCTAACTCTGTCATCTTAATTTCATCAGTTCTAGCTCATCTTTTAGACCTCCAGACATTGAAATAATTTAGAGCTCTATACTTGAATTTACTGTCTCCTTCCAAACTCATGTTCTTGGTGATTGTAAGAGTCAGTGTTCTCTAGAGGGATAGACCTAATAGGTTAGATGTATATATGAAGGGGAGTTTATTAAGGAGTGCTGACTCACACGATCACAAAATGAAGTCCCAAAATAGGCCATCTGCAAGCTGAGGAGCAAGAAGCCAGTCCAAGTCCTGAAACCTGAAAAGTAGGGAAGCTGACAGTGCAGCCTTCAGCCAAAGGTTCCTAGCAAATTACTGGTGTAAGTCCAAGAGTCCGAAGCTGAAGTACATGGAATCAGACGTTCGAGTGCAGGAAGCATCCAGCATGGGAGAAAGATGAAGGCCAGATGACTCTGCAAATCTGCCCTTTCCACTTTCTTCTGCCTGCTTTATTCCAGCAACTCTGGCAGCTGATTAGATGGTGCCCACCCAGATTGAAGGTGGGTCTGCCTCTCCCAGTCCACTGACTCAAATGTTAATCTCCTTTGTCAATACCCTCACAGACATACCCAGAAACAAAACTTTGCATCCTTCAATCAAATTAATGCTCAATATTAACCAACAAAATGATGTCATCCAATTTTCATGACTGTAAGCAAGAGATATGAGCTGATTATTTTCAAATTTATGTCTCTAGTTTGGACTTCTTCCTGAATTCTAAAGCCATATATCTAATTGCATTTGTGGCATTCCTACTTGAATATCTAATAGTGATTTCAAATGTTAAATGTCCAATGTGAGTTTTTTATTTTCTCTGCAAATCTGTTCATACTAAAAGCTCAAAAGCACAGCCAATAAAAGCAAAAATAGACAAATGGGATTATATCAAACTAAAAATCATATGCAGAGCAAAGGAAACAATCAATAGAATGAAGAGACAACCTGCAAAATGGAGAAAATATTTGCAAACTATTTATCCAACAAGGGATAATATCCAAAATACAGCAGGAACTCAATAGCAGAAAAAAAACATCTAATTTAAACATGGGCAAATGAGCTGAATGGGTGTCTCTCAAAAGAAGATGTACAAATGGCCAACAGGCTTATGAAAGAAGGTTTGACATCACTAGTCATCAAGGAAATACAAATCAAAACCCCAATGATATATCATCTTCCCCCATTTAGAATGATTATTATCAAGAAGACAAAAAATAACAAATGCCAGTGAGTATGTAGAGAAAGTGGAATTATTATAGAACCATCATTATGATGCAGCAATCCCACTACCAGGTATATATCCAAAGGAAAGAAAATCAGTATGTCAAAGAGATGTCTATGCTTATGCAATAAGTGCTGCCACACTATTCACAATAGCCAAGATATAGAGTGAACCTAAGTATTCATCAATGGATGAATGAATAAAGAAAATATGCTATATATACACAATGGGATACTATTTGGCCATGAAAAAGAATGAAATCCTGTCATTTGTGGCAACATGGATGAGCTTTGAGAATATTGTAATAATTTTAATAAGCCAGGGACAGAAAAATAAATACCACATATTCTCACTCATGCACGCTGAAAAAGTTGATCTCATAGAAGTAGAGAGTAAAAAGAGTAGTGATTAAAAGTGGGAAAGGGAAGAGGAGAGAGTAAGAGGTTGGGTAAATGAATGCAAAATTACAGCTAGATAGGAGAAATAAATTCGAGTGTCTATAGCTCTCTAGTGTGGCTATAATTAACCACAATTTATTTCATATTTTCAAATAGCTAGAAGAGCAGATTTCAGGTGTTCCCAATAAAAAGAAATGATAAATGTTTGAGGAGTGGATATGCTCGTTACCCTGATCTAAGTATTACACATTGTATACATGTATCAAAATAGTCACACTGTATTCCATTAAAATGTACAATTTTTTAAAAATGTACAATTATTATGTGTCAAAAATAATAAGAAAAGATGATTAAAAACTGCTCATCCTGGAGTCTTCTCCATCTTCCTTTGAAGTCATTGTTGATTTCTCTATTTCTCTCGTATGTCATATCTAATCTATTAGTAAATTCTGTTGGTTTTGCCTTCAAAATGTATCCAGGTCTGGTCACTTCTTACCATTTCCATTGATACCACCCATGCTACCAATATTTCTTGACTGAATTGTTACAACAACCCTCTAACTATTCTCCCTCCTTTCACCTTTTAAACTCCCATAGGTTGGTCTATGGAAACCATGTGAAACTGTTAAACCATATGCTATGTTCAAAACCTTTCAGTGAATTTCTATATAATTCAGAGTAAAAGCCAAAGTCTTATAATTACCTACAGGGACCTAAAGCACCACTTATCTTGCCTGCTCTTTCTGACCATTTTCTCTTATTCTTCCTCCTCATTTACTCTACTCCAGCCACCTGCTGTTCTTACAACATTCCTGACATCCCTCTCCTTTAAGGTGGTTGGAATTGACTTTCCTTCTGCCCACAATTCTTTTCCCCCCGAATCCTGCAGGCCTCACTTCCTTCCTTCTTTAACACTTTCTTCACATATCACCAGTGATATGTGAAACTTGGAGATGTACTTGGAGAACATTATTATAAGTGAAATAAGCCAGGAAGAGAAAAATAAATACTCCATGTTCTCATGAAGTATTAATTTTTTTCTGAATAGCCTATTTGTGAACAGCCTATTTTCTGAAAACTTTCTCTCATAGACCTTACCACTTTTATAAATTCTGTGTAATTTGTTTGTTTAATAGACATTAATATACAATATCTGTTTCTCCTAACTATAAGATAAATGAGGGTAGAAGTTTTAGTGTCTTTGGTCAGTGATGAACCCCCAGCTCCTAAAACAGTGCCTGGAACATAATAGTCCTTCATAAATACTGATTGAGTGGAGAATGTGCATATTTTAAAAATCTGTAAAGAAATCAACCAAAATGTTAATCGTCCTTCACTCTGGATAGCAAGATTGTAGGTGAATTCTACTTTCTATTATATGTTTTTCTAAGTTTTCAAAATATTCTACACTTAACATATATTATTTTTAATAAGAAAAGATCCCTTACACTTTAAGTACATATTTAGGTCTTCAGTACAGAGTGTATTTAAGAGACTCAAGATTTTCTACAAGCAAATGTTCCTGGCTTGCACAGTAGTTTGGGAAAATCACCTAAAGTGCCTCCTCATTATTCTTTAAAGTAAAGTAAACTTGCTGGATTAGATTTTAGAGTCCCTGGAAAATTTAAATATATATTTAAATAAATATATCCTCTGACTACTGAGATGATTTCAATGTAAAAAAGTAAATTTTACCTTTTATTCCTTATTCCTTTAAGCATCTTCCTATTTCAAATAGATGTCATTCCACTACTACTTTTTAACTTATACATTACCTTTCTTTAAAAGAAATCCACAGATACTGCTCACAATTATATAAACTCAAATGTCATGCTTTTATGTTCTAGGTAAATAGACCAAGTTTCAGAGAAATTTGATAAATATTCACAAGGATGTCATAATAGATTTGAGAAAGATCTTCATCTATAAAATGAGTATACTATTGGTACTAATTCACAACACTTTTATAAGAAATTTAACATAAGATGCTTAGCAAACTTCCTGCTACAAAGACTCAGACTTAAGACCTTATTAAGTTCTGTTATTCTTGTAACTACTGTTATGTTGTCCTTAATGTTTTATTCAAAAGTGTGACGTAAATTTTTAGAACCATTTATTGTACAGTATATCAGATTGTGAAGATAAAGTTAGATGCTGGAAATTTTGAGTAAGATTATCTAGTATTTAAGGTATTCTAAATATTAGGTAATTTTAAAACCAGCGTATGTTTCATGCATTGATCGAAAACTAAAACATTATATCTACATACATAATGATGCAGTGTATGTAATTATATATTTCTAGGGCTATTTATGTCCAAATGAATTTATTGCTACTCAAGGTCCACTACCAGGAACAGTTGGAGATTTTTGGAGAATGGTGTGGGAAACCAGAGCAAAAACATTAGTAATGCTAACACAGTGTTTTGAAAAAGGACGGGTAAGTTATTTGAAAATGTTTTCACAAATGTTATTTTGCAATTGTGTTAACATATGTGTGAATATTTCATCTAATACTGTGATATACAAACATCAATAAAATCTGGACATCTACAAAGCAATTTTAACTTAGTTGCAAAAACTGTGATATACAAACATATCAATATAACAATGACTGTTGTGATTGATGATTTTCTCTGAATGCAGATCAGATGCCATCAGTATTGGCCAGAGGACAACAAGCCAGTTACCGTCTTTGGAGACATAGTGATTACAAAGCTAATGGAGGATGTTCAAATAAATTGGACTATCAGGGATCTGAAAATTGAAAGGGTAAAAATTTTAAAAAGTGGGGGACAAGAGAACATGGTATAAAATATGAACAATTTAAATGTCTAAAATAAAACTAATTTCTAGAACTATCCCTTTCAAGGATACCTATATAGTTAATAATGCTTTTGTATTGTTTTCTAAGCAGAATTTTGAATTGATATCAAACTTTAGTGTTAATGTCACTGTATTTGTTCCAGATCACTCTAGTTAAAGTCTGTATTAACCAATTAGCATCGCATTCATAGGCTGACAAGAGCAGAAAAAGGAGAGAAAATGACGAAATCACTGGCTTTATTTTATTTCATGAAGAAACTGTAATATTTGACTTGAGACAGCAGTTTCTCAAATCACTCATCTCTAGGTCCTAATAATTTGATTTTCTATTTAATCCAGATCCAATATAGAAAAGGTCATATGGAATCTCACTTTATCAGTTTACATAAATACCTATACACAGAAGATGATATAAGGATCTTTATACTTTTCACATATCAGATTCTCAATACCTGTATGTATGGAATAATTTGTGAATGTGTTCATTTAAGTTTTGGGTCAAAATTGTTTTAAAACTTATACTGAGTGCTACAAAATGATATGCTGTATTTGAATATTAATATTCTATATTAACATTTATTTACAAGCTTTCTAATTGTTTTCATTCATACTGAAAGGCAATTCTCCTTATTGTAACATTTCTCCTTATTATAACATAAAAAATCTCTCTTACAGGAAATAATGAAAACATTTGGTTTAGTAAACAGTCATTTTTAAAAGATCATCTTCGAAAACTGAGACAATTGCCTTCAACCTTCATTGTGGGACTTAAATAATTTTGTCATTCATTAATCTGTCCCTTTGTCTAGCATGGGGATTACATGACTGTTCGACAGTGTAACTTTACTGCCTGGCCAGAGCATGGGGTTCCTGAGAACAGTGGCCCTCTAATTCACTTTGTGAAGTTGGTTCGAGCAAGCAGAGCACATGACACCACACCTATGATCGTTCACTGCAGGTAAGAAAGAAAGCGATATTTTTAGAAACATCTATTAAATGCCAGAAATGTTCTTTGAACACATTGGTCTTTTTATTATTATAATTCCATTTTTTAAAATAAAATCTTTGTGTAAATTTCTTCCAGCTTGCCATCTTCAGAGATTTTGCATTTAGCATTTCTAGACACATTGGGATAATTTATGTTTTCTGACATGATAGATTTAAATCAGTCTTGAGTCTCTTTCACAATTGGAGTTTGGAGATTAGAAGAAAATGTAGTATGAATTCTACTTAAATACTCAGAATAGGTAAATTTATAGAGACAGAAAATAGACTTGTGGTTACTAGTGAGGAGGGAGATAAAAAATTATTATCTAATGGGTACAGACCTACTATTTGGGATGATGAAAAGTTCTGGAAAGATACAGTGTTGATGTTTACACAACACTGAGAATATAATTAATGTCACTGAATTGTACATGTAAAATAGTCAAAATGATAAATTCCCTGTTATTCATCCTTTACCATGCTAAAAAGATTTTTTTTTTTATTATTGCATTTTAGGTTTTGGGGTACATGTGCAGAGCATGCAATACAGTTGCATAGGTACACACATGGCAGTGTGCTTTGTTTGCTTTCTCCCCTTCACCCACATTTGGCATTTCTCCCCAGGCAATCCCTCCCCACCTCCCCTTCCCACTGGCCCTCCCCTTTTCCCCCCTATAGACCCCAGAGTTTAGTACTCCCCTCTCTGTGTCCATGTGTTCCCATTTTTCATCACCCGCCTATGAGTGAGAATATGCGGTGTTTCATTTTCTGTTCTTGTGTCAGTTTGCTGAGGATGATGTTCTCCAGATTCATCCATGTCCCTACAAACGACACGAACTCATCATTTCTGATTGCTGCATAATATTCCATGTTGTATATGTGCCACATTTTCCCAATCCAGTCTATCATCGATGGGCATTTGGGTTGATTCCAGGTCTTTGCTATTGTAAACAGTGCTGCAATGAACATTCGTGTGCATGTGTCCTTGTAGTAGAACGATTTATAGTCCTTTGGATATATACCCAGTAATGGGATTGCTGGGTCAAATGGAATTTCTATTTCTAAGGCCTTGAGGAATTGCCACACCGTCTTCCACAATGGTTGGACTAATTTACACTCCCACCAACAGTGTAAAAGTGTTCCTTTTTCTCCACATCCTCTCCAGCATCTGTTGTCTCCAGATTTTTTAATGATCGCCATTCTGACTGGCGTGAGATGGTATCTCAATGTGGTTTTGATTTGCATCTCTCTGATGACCAGTGACGATGAGCATTTTTTCATATGATTGTTGGCCTCATATATGTCTTCTTTTGTAAAGTGTCTGTTCATATCCTTTGCCCACTTTTGAATGGGCTTGTTTGTTTTTTCTCCTGTAAATCTGTTTGAGTTCTTTGTAAATTCTGGATATCAGCCCTTTGTCAGATGGGTAAACTGCAAAAATTTTTTCCCATTCTGTTGGTTGCCGATTCACACTAGAGACTGTTTCTTTTGCTGTGCAGAAGCTGTGGAGTTTCATTAGGTCCCATTTGTCTATTTTGGCTTTTGTTGCCAATGCTTTTGGTGTTTTGTTCATGAAGTCCTTGCCTACTCCTATGTCCTGGATGGTTTTGCCTAGATTTCCTTCTAGGGTTTTTATGGTGCCGGGTCTTATGTTTAAGTCTTTAATCCATCTGGAGTTAATTTTGGTGTAAGGTGTCAGGAAGGGGTCCAGTTTCTGCTTTCTACACTTGGCTAACCAGTTTTCCCAGCACCATTTGTTGAACAGGGAATCCTTTCCCCATTGCTTGTTTTTGTCAGGTTTATCAAAGATTGTATGGTTGTAGCTATGTTGTGTTGCCTCTGATGCCTCTGTTCTGTTCCATTGGTCTCTATCTCTGTTTTGGTACCAGTACCATGCTGTTTTGATTACTGTAGCCTTGTAGTATAGTTTGAAATCCGGTAGCGTGATGCCCCCCGCTGTGTTCTTTTTGCTTAGAATTGACTTGGCTATGCGGGCTCTCTTTTGGTTCCATATGAAGTTCATGGTGGTTTTTTCCAGTTCTGTGAAGAAAGTCAATGGTAGCTTGATGGGGATAGCGTTGATTCTGTAAATTACTTTGGGCAGTATAGCCATTTTCACGATATTAATTCTTCCTAACCATGAACATGGAATGTTTCTCCATCTGTTTGTGTCCTCTCTGATTTCGTTGAGCAGTGGTTTGTAGTTTTCCCTGAAGAGGTCCCTTACATTCCTTATGAGTTGTATTCCAAGGTATTTTATTCTTTTTGTAGCAATTGTGAATGGCAGTTCGTTCTTGATTTGGCTCTCTTTAAGTCTGTTATTGGTGTAGAGGAAGGCTTGTGATTTTTGCACATTGATTTTATATCCTGAGACTTTGCTGAAGTTGCTTATCAGTTTCAGGAGTTTTTGGGCTGAGGCGATGGGGTCTTCTAGGTATACTATCATCTCATCTGCAAATAGAGACAATTTGGCTTCCACCTTTCCTATTTGAATACCCTTTATTTCTTTTTCTTGCCTGATTGCTGTGGCTAGAACTTCCAGTACTATATTGAATAGGAGTGGTGACAGAGGGCATCCTTGTCTAGTGCCGGATTTCAAAGGGAATGCTTCCAGTTTTTGCCCATTCAGTATGATATTGGCTGTTGGTTTGACATAAATAGCTTTTATTACTTTGAGATATGTTCCATCGATACCAAGTTTATTGAGGGTTTTTAGCATAAAGGGCTGTTAAATTTTGTCCAATGCCTTCTCTGCATCAATTGAGATAATCATGTGGTTTTTGTTTTTGGTTCTGTTTATGTGGTGAATTACGTTTATATACTTGCGTATGTTGAACCAGCCTTGCATCCCCGGGATGAATCCTACTTGATCATGATGAATAATTTTTTTGATTTGATGTTGCAATCGGCTTGCCAATATTTTATTGAAGATTTTTGCATCTATGATTTTTTAAAGTAACAATATCTTTTAATTTTTTAAATTTTATTATACTTTAAGTTCTGGGGCACATATGCAGAATATGCAGGTTTGTTACAGTATACTATAGTTATATTGTTAAATGCTGTATGTTAGAAAAGATAAATTCATTCAATTTTTAAACTGTCATTTAAAAAAACCCAATATGTAATTTAAATTATTATACATTTTCCATAAATTCTCTGGATTTTTAAAATTATAAGACTAATGCATAAATGCTTGCTCATTATAAAATATGTGAACAATGCTTATATTTATAAAACATGTAGAACAAAAAGTAAAAGCCTCATTTTTACCTTCTCAATTTAAAACCCCTCCTTACAGGTAAAAAGTTTAATATAATAGTGTATACCAAAAATAGTATAACAGTTTGCTTCTACAGTCAGTGATTGATTTTATGCTGGCATCTTGATGATTAAAACCTTTGACAGACAGTAGCTGCCTTCAGTTTCTCTGAATCATGCAAATACACTGCCATCGGCACTAAAAGAAAAGTACTTTCTCCTTTTTAGCCTCAAAAAAGAGTAGTATCTCCTCCTTTGTGATTTAAATAGATAAAAGATAAGAAGAAAGTATGTTCATATTATTTATTATCTTTCAATATCATGTGAAAATCGTCTACTACATATTTATCTCTAACTTCAACTTCTCACCTTGACTTTAGACTTCTACACTGGGCTTCCAGTTCAACTTGACAGCCATTCAGACTAAAAAGTTCTAGAAATTTGATATGTACAAAACAGAACACTTGACTCAATCTCCAAATTCACCTCTGCTCAGTTGTCCCTATCTTGGTAAACAGCAAGCCCCTTTCATTAGAGCCAAAACTGCTAGAGTCATCCTTGATTCTGCTTCCTCTCACATTCCACATCTAACCAACCAGCAAATACTCTGATCCCTGGCCACACCTCACCTCCTCACTGCACTCTCACCTCCCTGGTCTCCCCTGATTTGTGAACATTCAAAAATGCTCCCAACTCAGGTTTCTTCTCATTTTGCTTCTTCTGGCTACCATGATCTTCTCCCTGATACTCACATGGTGTGTTCTCTAACTTTATGCAAGTTTCTTTTCAAATATTACATTATCAGAGAAGTTTTCTCTGCTGACTCTATCCTACCCTATCACCCTCTATCTCCTTAACCTGTTTTTGTTTTTGTTTTTTTCCCCCAGTATGGCACTTCTTACCACCAGTCATGTTCTTTGCGTGTTAATTTATGTGTTGTTTTCCTCTAGAATATAAGCTCTATAAGTGCAGGGACTTTGCGTTGTTCACTGCTCTGCCCCAGGTGCTCAGAACAGTGTTTAACACTCAAAATATACTTAACAATTCAATGACTGTGTGGAATATGTGTATACATGTTACTCTAATCAGTTTTATGTTGTAAGGCTCACAATTTCTTAGGTCGAATTATAGGAAATTGCCAATATTTAAAAGTGTCTTAGTACAGAACTATAAAAATGGCAGTTTCATGTGGTTCAAAGTAATATTTATAAGACTAGAAAATCTTTCAAAATTTTTTTCAGATTAATTTCCTCTATTAACCATTTATTTCCTAGGGATCTTGTCTTTCTGACAGTAGGAATTTGAGTCAGTCTTGTGAGGTTTATCAGTTAACAGTTTCTATGGAGCACATGCCAGTCTTTGAGTATTAATATAATTTCTTAAAAGAAAATCGTTTTTCAATTTTATTTTCTATAGGAGGTAAAATAAATTCTAGAGAAAGAAAGTAAAAATGACATTTGCGAGACTATTTTTCAAAATGATGCAAAGAAAATGCTTTATGAGCTAAATATTGAACATTTGTAATGTTTAGCATTTCTGCTGCTAACTGAAAATTTAGTCAATACAGAGTGGTATTAAGAATTTTCAATGATTTTTTAAAAATCTCTATGGTTCTCCAACAACACCCCCTAAAATATTAAGAAATAAGAGGTTAAGCTCCACTGATTAAAGAAAGAGAAACTCAAATATTTGATAGCATATTAATGATAGTCATCTTGCCCTATTTAAACAGTCTTCATAACCTTAAAAAAAAATTCAAAGAAGCTCCAAAGAAAGTCTGCCTCCAAGTAAGAGAAGAAACTGTTAGAATTTTTTGCTATCGTAGCTCATTATCTTTAACACCATCAAAATGAACAACCCTTTGCTGAATAATTTTCATGTAATTTTACTCTTCCTGCAGTGCCGGAGTTGGAAGAACTGGGGTTTTTATTGCTCTGGATCATTTAACACAACATATAAATGACCATGATTTTGTGGATATATATGGACTAGTAGCTGAACTGAGAAGTGAAAGAATGTGCATGGTGCAGAATCTGGTAAGATATCTAAACCTGCACTGCATTCTAAAGTTCCAGAATTTCTGCAGGTGAGGTCGTAGTGGCAGCATCTGGATGGACATGGGCTTGAAGCTGTGTTCGCATGGTGGAAACTCTCTTTTCCTGCGTTATAAGCTTTGTGGGGAAGTCCTGGGGAGGGCAGCTGATAGAAATTACAGGAGAATTAATGCCCATGTGCCATTGTCACCCTGCAGCATTGTTACTGATGTCTCATCTTAACTCGTTATACTGATAGGTATGTAGGAAATAACTTATAAATTGATTTATCTTTATCATTTAGCAGCTTTGGGATCTCAAAAAATGAACTCGTTAATATCTTTTCAATATCATTATCTTTTGAAAAGTTGTAAGCGGGAAAACAGTTTAAAATATTGATCGTAATGAAGTTCTATGGATTTTACTTCTCTATATTTATCCCTATGGCATACCAGTACTAATGATGAATATTGTAGCATGCTATCAACTATTAACTGAGAATTTTTTGTTTGTTGTTTTGGCTCACACACACAAATTTATAAAATATATACAATTTTAATTTTAAAAATTGCACAGTATAATGGTAATGTGGCTAAAAACCTCTACTGAGTGTCTACTGGGTACCAGGTGATATATGAGACCCTTCATATGTATTATCTTATTTAATCCTGATTAATTCTTTATTTGTAAGGCAGGGCCAGTAAAACCAATCAACAGACTAAATATTACTGGCTCTGCTTTACAAACAGGGAAGCACATGTTCCAAGAAGTTAAATGATATTCCAAGATGATATTACTGATAAGTTCCAGAGCCCAAATTCAAACCCTATTCTGTATAACTACAATATACATGATATTCCTATCTGTAGCTTTAGATTGGAATTTGTATGCTACACAAACAGAGATTTTCTTGTAATAAATGCACAGATCTGCTTTAACAATATTTTCCAGGTTACATTCTAGAAAACATACATGGCATCAAAGTAGTTAAAGATTTGAGAAAATGAGGTCTCTGCTAAAATAAGTATGAAAAAGAGACTGATTTTTAAACACATAAATTTTTATGGCCTTAATGCTAAATTCACTGACCATTACAAAAACGGATCCCTATGGGCAACTTTTCTCAAACTTTGATGATTGTAGAGCTCTTCAATCCTTTTTGATCCAGATCTGTAATAGCATGTCATGGAACATTAATCCTCCTTGAAAGATGCTGCTCTAGACCAGAGATATCCAAACTTTTTAGACAAACTTCCCTTTTAGGAAAGATGTTTGAGCTTCAACTCTAATACAGATATATTTATCTTTAAATGTAGATTGTTTGGTTATGTAAATTATAAACATAAATAATTTGAAAAACATGAGAAAAATATCAAAAAAGCACTATTTTCAAAACCTTGCTCATTGCTCAGGCTTCTTATTATCATTACGTGTTTTCAAAAAAGAAAATATACACTTAGGACAAAATGCTTTTATTTTGATAGTGGTTTTAAGTACACATTTTAAGTTTTTATGCTTTTTTAAAAAAGTGATCTAGCTTTTTGTCAGGTCTGATTACATTGTTGTTATGTTTACCTCATAGTATGACTACAAAAGTACTCTAGGAGCATGATGGTGTCAGCCTTGCCAGTTTTTGTGTCGTTCATTTGGGCTTGCATGATAAATATTATCATTAATTCATAGTCTCTTTGTAGGAATCTTCCTCAGTTACTTGGATAATTAGCTAAACTAGCTAATCTAATGCATATTCATTCCCTTATATACTGAGTTAACAAATGAGTTAAGTGTCGCTCTTTCCCTGGGATACTTCAGAAATGTGATAATTAGGTAAACTAGTTAATATAATGCATATTCATTCCCTTATATACTGAGTTAACAAATGAGTTGAGTGTCACTCTTGCCCTGGGATACTTCAGAAATGGAATATTACACATGACCAGGGCCAGCTTCATGGGTATGCAACATGGGTGGTTTCACAGGTCCTCACATTTAAAAAGGCCCTGAAATTGGTTTAATGTTTGCTGTCACTATTTTGAAAAATCTTAAAGTTACATTTTGAGACAGGAACTTTCCATTTTGCATTCTCTCTAATCCAAGTTGGGCTGACAAATTAGGTAGCTGGTCTTTATCAAGGGGTCTCAGAAGATTCTAATATCACTCCAATGATTAACCATTATTAAAATTTAATTTCCTTCTCACTTTTAGTTAAAAATAAAGATAAATAGAAAGATAACATTTTCCTCCCCTGTCCCTAGCTGTACACATATACACTGGTGATCGATGCTCTCAATGAAATTAAGGGTTGGCTCTCTTGGGTAGGATACAGGATGGAACTGATTGTTTCCTTCTAGAATCTAGAGTCAATCTTCAAACAGTAAAAGTTGAAAAAACTTCCAGGTTCTATGACTTCATAAAACTAAATTCTGTAATGAGTGTGTTCAAGAATGTCTATTAATAATTACCCAATTTAGTAGTCAATATATGTTATAAACTTCATACATTATACTATTTAACCAGCCATAGCTAGTTGTCACCGCTTGGGATGGGAGCTTGAGGTGGTGGGGGGTGAGGGGAGGTGTGATTAGAAAGAGAAGGTTTTTGAAGTCACAGAGCTAAATTCAGAATACAGCTCTGCTAATTGCTGGCTCTGTGACTTTGTTTAATTAGCGTCTCTGAGCTATTTCTCTTTTGCAAAATAGCCCTGTTACACTTTTCACAAACTTGTTGTCAGCATTAAACAAGAGAAAGTTTGTAAATCACCAACATGGTGCCCAGCAGGCAGTAAATGTTCAATATGATTTTTCTGATTCTCTCCTTGCTGAAAAGAGGTACTCGGAAGCCCTCTTTTATTTGTCTTAGTTCCCAGAAGTTAGGCTCTTTACTGTTTTTTTTCCCTATGATGACAAACAGAGAAATGATCACACCTCACCTCTAGTCCTTAAGCACCAGCATTGCCTTGCACAAGAGCAGTTTCTTGTTTTCTTTTCCTGCAGTCCAGAGTGATTGCAGTTTCTATGAAGAATGTTCCTGTCTTACAGCACATGCTACAGCAGCCATGGGAGGCTGGGGGAAAGCAGCAACTTCAACAAAACACTGCCACTAAGAGGCACTGAGGGGCATGGCCCTTACCCAAGAGAAAGTTTTGATTTCTTTCACTCAAAAAATAATGCACTGGGGGCTGAGTGCGGTGGCTCATGCCTGTAATCCCAGCACTTTGGGAGGCTGAAGTGGGCAGATCACCAGAGGTCAGGAGTTCGAGACCAGCATGACCAACATAGCAAAACCCCTTCTCTACTAAAAATACAAAAATCAGCTGGGTGTGGTGGCAGGTGCCCATAATCCTATCTACTTCAAAGGGTGAGACAGGAGAATCGCTTGAAACCAGAGACAGAGTTTGCAGTGAGCCGAGATTGCACCACTGCACTCCAGCCTGGGTGTCAGAGCAAGGCTGTCTCAAACAACAATAACAACAACAAACAACATCAACAAAAAACAATGCATTGTAGCCCCAGGAAATTTGAAAGGCCTTTTTGAGAGAACACTCTGTAGTGAGATAATATCCTAAGATACTCTTAGTGCCTCGCATAAGTAGAAATTTACTGATAGTAACTCATACAGTGGGAGAAAAAAAAGTTAACATATTTTGGGTGCCCAGTTTTTTGCTGGGAATTTTACATATGTTACATCCTTTAAATCTTGCAACACAGGATTTATGACACACACTTCCACCACCAGATGAGGTAATTGTGCATCAGAAGAGTTTAATTCTAAAGGTAATATGGCTATCTAGGGCAGAAACTGGGATTAAACTTTTTTCACAACAGTACACTGCTTTCTTGGCAGTAACCCAAAATGGCAGAGGGACCTTGGAACCTGTAGGACTGTCTCACGAAGCTCAGCCTGCTCTGCTGGCAAAGTTTATACCTATCATTCTTTCCAGTGGAGAAGATAAAATCAGGACAGTCAGAAGTTTCACATACCAAATGTGACTTCAACTTCCAATGTGTTTATAAAAATAAGTAAATAAAATACTAGAACTCATAAATTTAAATGATTTCCAAAAAGATTATATTGTGTCAGCATATTTCTGCCAATAATATAATTCATTGTGTCATGTATGCTTGAAAGCACACCTTTGGAATTACCTTAAGAAGTAACTTTCTAGCAATTTCAATAGAAATTTTATTGCTTTCTAACAACACTTCATTTCTTACCAAAACTGAATTCTACAAACTCTATCATTGACCTCATTTACAAAACTTGACACCTAATGACATTTGAATTTTCTCCAAATTACATCTGCTCTTAAACAGTAAAGATTGCCTAGCTGTGAGAATTAAATGAAGCTAAGTCAACAGACATTTATGATGCAACTACTATGTTCCATGCACTGTTATAGGCAACCGGAATATAGCAGTGAATATGACAGAGTTCTGCCCTCATAGAACTGATGTTCCAGTAATGAGATGTTCATGGAAACATTTTGTAATCCACAAAGGAATAGATACTCATAATCGTGACTAACAATTTCTGAAGACAATTAGAGGAGTTCCAAAAGGTTTGGTGGTATAGCAGCCAGCAATAGATATGAATATAACCTCTGAAGCTGATCGCTTTTGAGAATGTTCTATTTAAATCATTGTCAATTTGAGTATATGTCTTAAACATTTGGTGATATTCCTTCAAAGTTAGATATGTCTGTTATGTACAAATGAGGGTGATTTAAAAGATACTTTTTTTTTTTTTTAGCTTTAACTACTTTTGGTAAGGTCCAGACTCAGAGATGCTAGCGGGTTATTGAATTACATTGAAAAAATTTGAAGGATCCAAATGGTACTGAATTTAACCAAAACATTCAGATGCAGTGTTAGGATTCCTTGTCCAGCACCTGGATGTTTGGGCATTTCAATGACCCGCTGCCTTATATTTACAAAACAGGACCAAATACTTGACCTTAAGTTGGCCATATATCCTGGTGGCTAACAGATTTGTTAAACATATTTTAAATGCACTGATGGTGTATAGATACGCTCACTCACAGATTTCAAAAGTAAATTTAGTATTTGTATTCCAACAGTCATTCAAACAAGAAAATTGTAAGAGAAATTACTCAATTAGGTCTAACAGGAAAAAGGAAACTCATAAACAAATTTAAGTAATGCAATTTGCTACTTCTTATAATCACAGTAAGGAAGAATATGTTAACACTTGGTGTTTAGTAACAAGTGTTAGAAAAAAACTTGAAGCTTCAAGAGACCGCAGGAATTCAGAAAGCCTCATATATGAAATGGTAGAAAACCATATATATACTATGATAAATTCTGTATCTGTAACTTAGCTATTTATTTGATGAATTCAGTACTACTTTTAGCTTTAACGGTATAACTCCCTATATAAAACTCTTCATCCATCTATTTGTTTAACCATTCTGTCTTTGGTATCCAGGCACAGTATATCTTTTTACACCAGTGCATTCTGGATCTCTTATCAAATAAGGGAAGTAATCAGCCCATCTGTTTTGTTAACTATTCAGCACTTCAGAAGATGGACTCTTTGGACGCCATGGAAGGTAAACAGAAACAATATGTACCCAACCTACTAGTGTACCAACTACAGTAGGAACATAAATTTCAAAATAACCATATGTTAAATATGTTTAAGAAACAGGATTAGTGCACACATCAAATTTTTTTTTTTACTTCTCTGTTATCCAAATTGGGCTAATAATATCCTTTCTGTCTGCATTGTATTTTTATCATGGGACATTTAAATTTTGAACTTTTAACTTCAATACTCTCTTGTAACATGTTATTTTCTGTTATAGGTGATGTTGAGCTTGAATGGGAAGAAACCACTATGTAAATATTCAGATCAAAGGATACAATTGGAAGATATTTTCAAATTCCAGGGGCCAAAGTTACCCCCTCATTCTTCTGAATTAAAATGGGCAAACTTAAAGAAATATCGATGCTTCCCTAACTGTGCCTTTCCAAATGGATTGAACATTTTAAGACTAGTTCTAGAAAATAGCTAATTCAGAATGATTATTTGTTTTGTACAGAATAAATATTATGCATTTTAAATGCTTAAGAAAAGACATCCCATATGTTTTTGAAGTCCTTTGTTTCAATGTGAATTTTCCCTATGTATTGGATTTAATTTTGAACAAAAGTTATAAATGTTGATTCAGTAGTGTTGTTTTGGCTTCCAGGGTGTTGACGTTTCTTGTGGATAATTTCCAGGACTGTCATAATGATCTGTACTTCCATGTACAACCCTGTGTTTTGAATCCTCTGTTTTATGAGTGCTGAGATATCATCTCATGATCCCGAACAGCTGAACAGTAACCCCCTGACACTGCAGGGATTACTTAGCCTTTATACAACACACAGTAGCTCTTCAGGGACACTTAGGGCTATTTAATTTGCATTGTGATCTTCAGTTTGAAAACTAAAAAGAAAAATTAAAAGTGCAATGGCACACATGAAGTTACAAAGTACCATTTTAGCCGACCCACATTTGTAAACTTTCAGGCACAAGTTTTACCTCTGTATTGTATATTAAAATATATAGTCAAATGTATCAGAGTGTTCACCCATTAGATATATATTCAACCTAATATGAACAATTCTGAAGAATATTTTTCAGCAAAAATGTATCAAAAGAGTAATAAGAACACATAGTGTGTTGCAAGCTTGTAAACCAATGATGTGCTGCTGTGGTGCCAACAGAGATTTCCAAATGGATTATGATAAATGGCCTTTATTTCATTTTCCAAGGTTGATTATTGAGCAGTATATCTGGTGGAACTGAAAACAACTTAACCATGTGTAGCTAATTCGAGATTTCTTTAAAGAAAATCTTTCAGTCTCCATCGTATTAAATAGTGACCATGTACTAAGTTTTGAATTATATGAAATTATTGTGTCATAGATTTCAATTAACAGTAATAAAAATAGTGCTAATTATTCTCTCTATGGTAAGAATTATATCTTATGCTTATTTCTGCTGAATATACATATAAGAAATGTGATGGCCAATAAAATTGAATTTTAATGAATTATCTAGCAGCATAATTTCAGAACCTCCTATATAAATATTTGATTTTGTATCTCATATTGACATAATAATTATATTAATTCTCAAATATATAAAATATTTACATGTAAGTAAAATATAATGACATAATTTATGTAATATAATATATATAATTAAGATATAATTATTTCTTAAGATATCCATAGATGGTAAGTAATTTTAATGTGAGATTTACTATTCAAGAAATTAAAACCCTTAGTTTCACAGCCTCTGGAAAAGTGTAAAATTGGCTTCCCTTTTTTTCATGGCAAGGAAGTATAAATAAATACAATCCACTACTGTTCCAGCCAATAAGTTTATAGAAAGTACCTGAAAGCAATAAAAAATGATGATAACTCTAAAAGATTCACGTTGGGGTTATACATTCTTTAGTTTCTTTTATGTCAGTCATTGAAAATGTATGGCAAGCCAGTATGGGGTTCTGTATCGTGAAAGACAGATAACATAGCCTGTGGGAAGTATTGTTGAGGTTACTTTTTAATGTATCAAGTGATTTTAAACATAATTCAATCTACAGGCCAGCCCACTTTCTATTATATCTGTATAAATCAGATGTGTAGAAGATAGAGTTTGACCCATGTACACATACATATGTGTGTATATAAAACACAATTTGAATACTAAGTCTCTCTAACCATGCTTATCAAACTTTAATGTTTATACAGAATATCTGGGGATTGTGTTAAAAATGCAGATTCTGCTTCACTAAAAATAGAATAGTCCTGAGAGTCATTTCTAGCAAGTACTTGAGTTATAATATTGCCGCCTAATCTCAGGATATATGTTGAATAATGTATGAATCTCTAAAAAACATTAGTCAGGATCAGAACAATTTTAAATCTACCTGAAATTACTTAAAACATGTTTTAAAAAAGATTTAACTTCAATATAAAAAGAATTGTAACCATTTATAAAATATGCATAGCTAGCAATATCAAGACACTAACTAAAATTAAACTGAAACCCAGATATGAATGATAGCTAAACTTTCTTTTAATGATGTTGTGAAAGAAGCAATTTATAGCCAGGTTCTATAGGTGGCTACTAAGTACTAATTAAAATAATGAAGAACATCTGTAACATTTTTTGATCAGATTTGTCAAAACACATTGAAGCACATGTACAATAAATGAGCAACATGTGTTTCATATGAACCAAATGAAACTGGAGCCTCTCAGAATGGTTTGCCAGAGACAAGAGCAGCTGTAGGTATCACCTCTACTTTTATTCTACTTTAAAATGCTTCATTTTTTTTTCTTTCAATTTATAGGTGAAATATATAATAAGTCTTTTGCAGAAAAACTAATTAAACATTGACCTCTTAATAAAGGAGATGGTGATTCATTCCACATATTGAACCAAACACTAGATTTTAAAATGAAATTTAAGTTCAGCAAAGTATTCTATAAGTCCATGCCATTATTCTGATAAACATGTCCATTTTCATTAGCCAAGCTTTAGGAAATTCAGTGAACTTTTATGAGAAACTTGGGACACAATGATTTGAAATTCTCAACTGAATTATATTTAAAAGTGAATTTTTTTTAAAGTTTATAAAGCAGAATGTTGGCAAAATAGCTTGTCTTCTTAGGATAAGCAATATTTCATGGTAAATGACTTTATAAATATGGATAGAGTTTCCATGTAGAATCAGGACTGGTAGACCTACAGCTCATGGAGATGTTCTGAGGAACAGAATAGATTGCGTATAAGAAAATGTTTTGAAAAGTACAGTGAACATTACAACGTTAGGATAATCTTTTACCAAGACTAGTCAATGTGTAATGTTTAAAAAGATAATGCATCCCATTTTAAGATTGCATTGTACTTTGTTGGTATTAGTGTCATATTTGTATGTCTGTTTCACATGCACAGACTGAAGAGAAAATTATGGCAGCCATATTGACTTCAGGTAAGTAAAACTACTGATATTTACTAAGTAAAAAATCAAGTGCTTTTTCAATGATTTTTTGATTAAAATTAATATATAAACATGTACATGAATAATATAAAATATAATTTGGAAAACAAGTCAAGAAAATTTTCATTTCAGAAGATTCATCTGGGCATTCTAAATCAGTATCCGCAATATTGTCCTCTGAAAATAAAACTCATTTAATAGAAGGTTTAATCTGTTAACAAGATTATATTCCTAAAGTCACAATCTTAAATTATTTTAATGGTACTAAAGGTATTGCTAGGTTGGGAAGTCATTTTAGTAAATTATAAACTTTTTAGAGTACTTTTACATCCATCATCCCTATTAATCCTTACAAAATCCTTTAAGATCGGCAGGGTCCTGTATTACAGGAAAGATAATGAAAGCTTAATTGCTGTGCCTGAAACCACATTTATTAGTAAAAGTTGAAGCTGAAATTAAAACTGAGTTTCTATGGCTCCTGGAAAGTACTCTTTCCATAACGTTGTGTCAGTCTCTCCGTAAGCAAATGACATGCTTTGAATAGTGTAAAATGCTCATGATAAAGAAAGGTTATAATCATCATATGTCCCAATTCCCTACTAGCCAGTCAGAGATTTTCTGCTAATCATATGAAAATAAGTAACAGAAACCACAGACAATTTTAGAGATAAGTAAGCTCTTAGAATGAATTTAAGAGTAAAAATAATCTTGATGTAGACAATAATATTAAAGAAGAAATGTAAAAGAAGCAAAAAAATTAAGATATTAGAAATGAAAGAAAAAGAACATTGAAATTTATAGAATAATGAAAATAAAGCTAAAAAAAGAGAAGTTGTCAAAGTCAAAAAAGCTCCATAGCATTTACATACACACACACACACACACACACACACACACACATACAATATGTGTATATGTATATATAATCAAATCCTATCAACTCCTTTACCCTACTAATAAGCAAAAGAAAGTGAAAGAATAAGAAAAGCATAGAAGAAACAGGAAAAAAAGAAAGCTAGAAGATATAAAAGAAAGAAAAATTTAAAAAATATTCTGTAATTCAATATTTGAATATTTAAGGAGTACTGGCACTGTGCTGGAATCATTACATGAGCTGGCATTTTATCTCATTTAAACCTCATCTGTGAGATTAACTCCACTAAAAGAGTAGGAAATGGAAGCATGGGGGGATGAGGAAGGTGCCCAAATTCTCACATAGAGTAATTGGTAGTATGGAATTCAAATCCAGGGCTATCTGGCTGAAGTTCATGTTCCTTTCAAGGTATGTATCCATCCTTATTTTATGTTGAAAAGCAGCATGCAGAAGCCTGGGAATAAAGAAGCCTCAGGAAGACAGTTTTTTAATCCTGTTTTGTTCTGACTTCCATTTCAAAACATTTCAATATATACATGGACTGTATGGACTGTAGGGAATTTGGACATGTGAAAACAGCCTACGTGGGTGAACTTTCAGATTAATTTGTTGTTCTAATATTCATTCTTTTTCCTTCTCCTATTAATTCATCTGATATAATTAAATTTGTGTAAGTATGTAGCCAGATTGGATGGATATCCCATCTGTATTTACTAATTTTGTGATTTGAGGCAAAAAGCAATAACCGGTTTGTACCTCAATTTCCTCATTCCTAATATGGAGGTAATTATAATAGGTACCTCACATGTTTGTAGAGCAGTCTTAGTTCAGAGTAAACACTCAATGGGGTTTGGATTGTAATATACATGATAATGAAGTGGCGTCATTTGTCTGAACTAATACGCAAGGTCTGTTGTCTCACACCAAGGAAATCAAGGACGCTGACACAGCAGGGTGAGGTTAAGAGCAGAAGTTTGATAGGCGAAAGAGAGAAAATCTCTGTTGCTGCAGAGACGGGTCCCAGAGAAAATGGGTCGCCATTCCATGGTGAAGTGCAGGAGGTTTTATATATCAGCTTGAGGAGGTGGTGTTTGATTTACATAAGGCACAAAAGATTGGTTGGACTAGGTCTGCCGTTTGCATAATACATAAAAATCTGGCCACCCCTACTCTAATCTTTTATTATGCAGATGTTTCTCTATCTGGCTGGCATCATGTTGCCTGCTTTTTTTACTGTACATGTGGTGACAAAGAGAAGGGAAGATGGAGCCTCCCTGTTGAACATACCTCGCCCCCAGGTAGCCTTCACCTATTGGAACAAATGCTGAAATTCACCCGTGTAAGTTTCCAGCCTGCTAATCTATGTCTGCAGCATGATTTTTCAGGCTGCTTTTGTTGGAAAAGAAATAATTTGGGGGCTGCTTTTTATTAAAAGGGAGGCCTCGCCAATGATTCCTTTATCCTCCCTATCTGCCTAAATAATTTCTAACTCCTGTATCAATAATGGTAGTAGTTATGATTTTTTTTCTGTAAGAATTCAAATATGCCAAAACTATGACCTATTGATTCACACAGCCTCTTGAGATATATATAGAAAACAGAATTATTATCATAATGATTAGCTTCAAATTAGCCTAATGGTGATAGAGGGAATTATTCCTTAGTAGTTAGTGGAATTTCACATTCAACATTTTTCTTTTAACCTTAAAAACAGAAAAGAAAGTAAACATGATTATGATTTTGAGGCATTTCTAATCTTATTCCTTATTATATAAACCACATTTTTCTAAAATTTCATCTTTATAATATTCAAATAAAGTTGTTCTTAAGTAAAAATAATTTTTTAAACACTTTGAAATTTAAATGAAATAAAATTGTGTTTATTTTTCTACATTTTCATTTCAAACCCATATATCTCTTGCTAAAAAAAAAGAGTTATAGTTTTAGGTAAAAATAAATGATTGAATAGATGATTAATATAGCCTCAAAATACTGAACTATACCAAAGAAATTAAATGTATTTATTACAAATTAAACATACTTCTAAAATAATATAAGTTGTAGATCCAGAAGATAAATTAATGATATGAAAATAATGAATTAGAAAATCTACATATTTGAACAAATATTCTCTAGAGAGAGAGATTTCTATACCCTAAAAAAAGACACATATTCTTTTGAAGTTCTCATGGATCAGTTGCAAAGAAGGACTGCTTCCTGTGTCACAAAGAAAGTTGAAAATAATTTCAGACTCAGTATCGTACATAGCCATTTATCTGACTACAAGACAATTGAGTAAAACATTTATAATAAAAATAATTTTAAGCTCCTATATTTGAAACTAAATTAATACATATCTAAATATCACACAGAGTAATATGAAGAATCTCAGTGAAAATTACATAACAGAACTGAATGACATCAAAGCACCTTTTATAATATTTTGGGAGATTCTGCTAAAGTAGTACATAAAGGGAAGCTTAGAGGCCTAAAATATATATCCTCAAATATAAACATATTAAGCATTTACTTGAGAAGCTGGAAAAAGTACAACAGATTTCATTTGTGACAACATTTTGTATGAGTTATCCACTGGCAGGAGAAAATATGGAATTGAAAGATAAAAAACACCTCTTTAAATGGAGAAATAGACCACATTAATAGGGGGTCAAGACTATACTATAAAACTAAAAATTCAATCAGTTTCTAAATTGGTTGAATCAATTTCTAAATTCAGAACTTCAGAAAATTCTTTTTTTTTTTTAAGTTTTATTGCATTTTAGGTTTTGGGGTACATGTGCAGAACATGCAAGACAGTTGCATAGGTACACACATGGCAGTGTGTTTTGCTTCCTTTCTCCCCTTCACCCACATTTGGCATTTCTCCCCAGGCTATCCCTCCCCAACTCCCCCGCCGCTGGCTCTCCCCCATTCCCCCCAATAGACCCCAGTGTTTAGTACTCCCCTCCCTGTGTCCATGTGTTCTCATTTTTCATCACCCGCCTATGAGTGAGAATATACCGTATTTCATTTTCTGTTCTTTTGTCAGTTTGCTGAGAATGATGTTCTCCAGATTCATCCATGTCCCTGCAAACGACACCAACTCATCATTTCTGATTGCTGCATAATATTCCATGGTGTATATGTGCCACATTTTCCCAATCCAGTCTATCATCGATGGGCATTTGGGTTGGTTCCAGGTCTTTGCTATTGTAAACAGTGCTGCAATGAACATTCGTGTGCATGTGTCCTTATAGTAGAACGATTTATAGTCTTTTGGATATATACCCAGTAATGGGATTGCTGAGTCAAATGGAATTTCTATTTCTAAGGCCTTGAGGAATCGCCACACTGTCTTCCACAATGGTTGAACTAATTTACACTCCCACCAACAGTGTAAAAGTGTTCCTGTTTCTCCACATCCTCTCCAGCATCTGTTGTCTCCAGATTTTTTAATGATCGCCATTCTAACTGGTGTGAGATGGTATCTCAATGTGGTTTTGATTTGCATCTCTCTAATGACCAGTGATGATGAGCATTTTCTCATATGTTTATTGGCCTCATATAATTTTTGCAGTTTACCCATCTGATGAAGGGCTGATATCAAGAATTTACAAAGAACTCAAACAGATTTACAGGAAAAAAACAAGCCCATTCAAAAATGGGCAAAGGATATGAACAGACACTTTACAATAGAAAATTCTTAAATGAAATGTGAGTAGAGAACAACACCTAGAATTTCAACAGAAACCTTATAGAGTCTCCAGTAAACAAGACTCTCACCACAAAACTTTTTAAAAAGGATTCGAAACATCAAATTAAACTATATTACAGTTAAAAAACCCCAGCCCTTTTAAAATTAAACCATGTAAATAGGTTTAACAATGTAACATTCTCAATACTCCCCATTCAGTTATAAATTACTAGGCAGGAAAAAGGAACTGGTAATCAGGAGAAAGATCTATTATTAGAAACACACATGTAAATAAAAAGAGATAGAATTAGCAGACAAGAACTTTTAATATAGCTACTAAAATATGTTAACATGAGAAACAAATATAAATATTACTGGAAACTACAAACAACTAAAATAAACTTCTAAAACCCATAATAGCTGATGTCAGAATGCTACTGGATGCAATTAAGAGCAAATTAGACACTAAAGAAGAAAAAAATCAGTAAACTCAAAGATCAGTCAATAGAAATTATCTAAACGGAATCATAGAGACAAAGCAGGCTGAAAAAACAACAGATTCTCAGTGACCTGTGAGATCAATTCAATAGTTTATCATAAGTGTAATCAGAATCAAAGGAGGGAAGAAAAAATGTTTGAAGAAATAATGTCCAAATATTTCTTTTTGAAAAATATAAATCTATAGATTCAAGAATCTCAAAAAATATCTAGGCAGATTAATGCACAAGCATGCATACACACTATCATTACTCTCAATTCTGTACCCACAATAATTTCTGCATAAGCATGTGTGCACACACATACACACACACACAACTATACCAAGGCATATCATAAGCACTTACTTGCATAATCAAGGCAAGTCACTGTTAAAGATAAAAAATGTTAAAGGCAACCAAGAAAAGAGATACTTGTTCTGGCGATGAAAGAAAATAAAATATTCTGGCTACTATATAGAAACAGTGCAAACCAACTGACAACAGAATGACATATTCAAAGTGCTGAAAGCACTTCCTCAAACTGACGAAAAGCAATTACAAAAAAGCTGGAGCTAATATTATATTCAGTGATGAAATATTGAAGGCTTTCACTCAAACATCAAGAAAAAGGCAAGGATGCCTGCTCTCACAACTTTTATTCAACATTCTCCTGGTGTTTCTAGCCACTATGATAAGCCAAGAAAAAGAAATAAATGGAATATATTTTGTAAAGGAAGAAATAAAACTTGATGTGAGTAGAGAAAAACACATCATTTATGAGAAAAATCTTTAAAAATCTACAAAAGAAAGCTACTAGATATAATGAGTAGCTATAAAAAAAGTTACGAGATATAAGGTCAAGATACAAAAATCTATTTCTACACACTAGTAATGAACAACTGGAATCTCATAGTTAAAAATACCATTAACAATAGCATCCAGGGGAGAGGGAGAGCATCAGGATGAATAGCTAATGCATGAGAGGCTTAATACCTAGATGATGGATTGATAAGTGTAGCAAACCACCATGGCACAGACTTACCTATGTAAAAAACATGAATTTCCTGCACAGATATCCCAAAATTTAAAATTAAACTAAATTAAATTTTAAAAATGGCATCCACAAACATAAAATGCTTCAGATAAATTTAACAAAATATGTGCAATATTGTTATACTTAAAAGCCACTAAATATTAATGACAGGAATTAAGATTCTAATAAATTTCTCTGAAATTCATTTTCATAAATTGAAAACTCATTGTTTTGATGCTAATTCTCTTCATATTTATTTATAGATTCAGTAAAACATCAATAAAAAGTCCATAAGGCTTTTTTAAAGAAATTGATGAACTGTTTTTATAGTTTATATGGAGATGATGCAAAAGACTAAAGTGACTCAACAATTTAAAATAGAACACAGGTGAAAGATTTACACTACAGATCTATAGATTCATTTACAGAAAAAAAGGTCCAAAAATAAACTTGGATACAGATGGCAAATTGGTTTTCAACAGAGATGCTAAGGTAATTCAACAGGGAACATATAGTCTTTCCAAAAACAGTATTGGAACAACTAGATGTCTATATGAAAAACCATGAATCTTCACCTTTATACCATATAATACGCACAAAGATTAAATTGAAATGTGTCTCAGACCTAAATGTAAAGGCTAAAACTATAAAGCTTATGGGGATAAAAGTAAGAAAAATTCTTCATGAACTTTCAATAAGCAAAGGTTTCTTAGATTATAAACCAAAATAAAACATCAAGGTAAAACTTGATGAATTGTCCTTCATCAAAGTATAACTTCTTGCTCTTCAAAAGACACTATTAAGAAAATAAGGCCAGACATGATGTCTCACACCTATAATTCAAGTACTTTGGGAGGCCAAGGTGCGAGGGTCACTAGAGCCCAGAAATTCGAGACCAGTGTGGGCAACACAGGAAAACCCCCTCTACAAAACATTTATAAATTAGCCAGTTGTGGTGGCACATGCCTATGGTCCCAGCTACTGGATAGGCTGAGATGGGAGGATTGCTTCTTAAGCCCAAGAGGACAAGGCTGCAGTGAGCTGTGATCATGCCATTGCACTCCAGCCTGAGCAACAGAGTGAGACTCTGTCTCAAAAAACAAAAGAAAAAGAAAATGAAAAGTCAAGCCACAGGCTGGAAAAAATAGGAGATAATATTCCCAATACATGTAATAGGATACAAGTCCTGGTACTTATCTCCAGAATATAAGTATATTTACAAAGTATAACACACGCTGGAAAAAGTAGGAGATAATATTCCCAATACATGTAATAGGATACAAGTCCTGGTACTTATCTCCAGAATATAACTATATTTACAAAGTATAACTAACACACACACACACACACACACACACACACACACAGCCAATATGTCAAATGATATTTAGCACCAATACAAAAGATGTTGAATACCATTAGTTATCAAGTAAATGCAAATAAAAATCATGAGATACCACTACACACTCAGTGGGATGATTAAAATTAAAATTACCAAAATATCAAGTCATTGGTAAGGATTTGAAGCAGCTAGAACTGGAAGTATAAAATGGTATAATCACTGTGGAAAACAGTTTGGCAGTCTATCATAAAGTTAAACATATTGCCATTATTACCATACTACCCAACAATACCATTCCTAGTCACGTACCTAAGAGAAATTAAAATATACTTTCAGAAAAGAAGTTGTATTTATGTTCTTAGCAGCTTTATTCACAACGGACAAAAATAGAGGGTCCAAATGACCATCAACAGGAGTGGATAAACAAGCTGTGGTCTATTTGAACAATGAAATACAAATTGGCAATAAAATAGGAATGAATTGCAATAAAGAGCAGGGAGAATTCTTAAAAAACATATGCAAGTTCTGGATATCAGCCCTTTGTCAGATGGGTAAACTGCAAAAATTGTTTCCCATTCTGTTGGTTGCCGATTCACTCTAATGACTGTTTCTTTTGCTTTGCAGAAGCTGTGGAGTTTGATTAGGTTCCATTTGTCTATTTTGGCTTCTGTTGCCAATGCTTTGGGTGTTTTGGTCATGAAGTCCTTGCCTACTCCTATGTCCTGAATGGTTTTGCCTAGATTTTCTTCTAGGGTTTTTATGGTGTTAGGTCTTATGTTTAAGTCTTTAATCCATCTGGAGTTAATTTTAGTGTAAGGCGTCAGGAAGGGGTCCAGTTTCTGCTTTCTGCATATGGCTAGCCAGTTTTCCCAACACCATTTATTAATCAGGGAATTTTTCCCCATTGCTTGTTTTTGTCAGGTTTATCAAAGATCAGATGGCTGTAGATATGTTGTGTTGCCTCCGAGGCCTTTGTTCTGTTCCATTGGTCTATATCTCTGTTTTGGTACCAGTACCATGCTGTTTTGATGCATGTTCTTCACATGTACCCCAAAACCTAAAATACAATTAAAAAAAACATATGCTAAGAGAAAGAAGACAGACACAAGAGAGTACCTACTGTAAGAATCCATTCTATGAAGTTCTGGAATAGTTCAAACTAATCCATTGTGATAGAAATTGAATAAATGATGACTACTTGGAGTATGGTATACGTGGGGAATTGACTTTGTATACCAAAGGGAACATTTTGAGAATGATGAAAGTGTTCTCTATCTTGAATGGAGTGCTGTTTATACAGGCATATTCATGTGTAAAATGCCTACACTTGTATACACACAATGATTGTGTTATATTTTATGTATGTTACAAACCAATACAATTTACTAAACAGAAGGATCATGAAAAAATAGTCTTGAGATATTTGTACGTCGTTTGTATAATGTTTTAAATAGACAACAGGTATACATTTTTTGTGGATGCATCCATTTTAGTACAGATAAAAAATCACGGGAATGAATAAAGCTATAAAAAATTCACATCAGAATCTAATTGCGATTCTTGCCAAAAGAGAAAAACAGAAAAAAAAATCACATTAGAATCACAGTTTCCCCTGGCAAGGGAGGAATGCATGTATGGAGACAGATTGTGAGGGAATCAGATTGGGATACGCAAGGGCTTCCAATGCATTTGTAAATTTTGTTTTAAAATTTGAAGCCTGTCTGCCAACATTGTCAGATTTGCTAAAATTAAATATGAGTAAAAAAATATTTATTATATTATGCCTTATAGTTTTTTGTTTGATGAATTTTATAATTAAAAATCACAGGTAAATTTTAAACTTTAATAATTTATTAAAATAAATGACAAAGTGTTTATGGGTTATTTTCACTATAATAATCCAAGCTCTCCTGTATGAATAAGTACAATACCAAGAAAAATATTTGCTTCTGTTATTTGCTTACTCCATTCCCAAAGCACTATCAGTCTTTTAAACATTAAAAATAAAACTTGATATGCTCCAAGTTCTTTCCAAAGAATTTATTATGCTCCTATTTACTCAGTGTTTATAACCTCCTGAACTGCCATGAAAGATAGGATGAATTCACTTGCTGGACTCTGCCACTGGAACACAGAGTTAGTTTCATCAATCTGAGTGTACTACATTCAGAAAGTTGGTAAATGGTAACAGGATGAGCACTGACTCCCTGGACTATTAAATCAGAAGTTTTATTTACTTATGTGTTAAAGATTATGCTTAAAATTGTGATATGAATAATTGTGATACACATAAAATTGATTTTGCTTTTTATTTTATTTACTATAATTAATAATAACCTTCTTTATTGAATCATTACCATGTGCCAGGCACTCTTCTAAGGACTTTACAAATATCAATTCATTAACTTCATGACAATTCCTGAAAGTAGGTGCTATTATATGGCTTTTACAGATAGAGAAACCAAAGCAAAAGGAGGTTAAATAAACTGCTCTAGATTACACATTATTAAATGAAAGAGCCTAGACTTGAATACAAGAAATCAGGGTTCAGAACCTGTAGTGTTTGCCACATATCCTGCTCTGTTACATGGGGGCCACAAGATATATGATAATATCTCTGATCTTACCTACTTGGATGTAGTATATGCACATTAACTCTATGCTCTCCCTCAAGAACAAAAGCTTCTGGATAGCATCTATAATAGCTACTTTATGCAAATTCAGTTACTCATGTCACATAGTCAGTGATAGTGCCAGCCTTTGTATTTCGGTATCTAGTACTATATTATTTCTCTGATTCACTACCTCCTCCAATATACATTCGGTCCAAACTAAATTGTGTGGTTTGTTTGCTCCGACTCTGCACTTTGTCGCCAGATTTAAATCTCAAGCTCTGAAACTCTGAGATTTAGATTTAAATCTCAGCAATGACCATTTCACTGATCTGTTCGGTAGCCCTTCGTTGACTTTTGAATTAAACTCCCGTTTTACAAATACCTTTCCACAGTATTCTTTTGTTTCTAGAACTAGACCATATTCGAATATTCACTGCTTACTAAAACACATCCTACACGTTCCCAAATACCATGCTTTGGCTCCTACATTTCCCTCAATAACTAATACCTTTCTTAGAACCTTTCTGAAGCCGTTTTTGCAGGTTCTTATCCACTGGCATTCTCCATTTACTAGATTGTCAACTATTTGTAAACAAGGACTACGTTTCTCTTAATTTTATCCATGTAACGCTTAGATAACATCTTACACACGACAGAAACTTAAACAAATATGTTCAATTGAAAATTTGCCTAGGCAGAAGTAAAATAATGTTGTCCATGTGACAGTGTATTTTCTTACCAATTCACACATGCTAAAATATCCTTGCAGTCAGGGAATAAACAAACACCTCTGGATCAAAGATAAATGAAGGTGAAATAGCAGGGAAAACTGGCATACAGTGATTAATGTATCATTTGTTCAGGATTATCAGTTATCCAGAATGTAACTAAGAAATTGATAGTGTGCAAAGAGCCTTTAAACAACTGAAGCTGACAAAAAGGAATTCTGTATAATTGGGCAACTTATTAAAACGTAGTTTATCAACAGTCTTTTCTTATAGATACTTCAACAAACTTGGTTTTTCAGGTCACGGTAATCCAGAAACAGCAAAATTGATGGCTGATATACTTATTTTGTGCACGCGTGCACACACACATACACACACACCCCTTCTTATAAACAACACATATACCTTCAAAACTTAAAAATTTGGGACAATTTATTGAAATCCAACATATTTCAATAGCCACTGGATATAACAAAAATAAATATTACAACACCATCCTCTGCATCTTTAAGAAACATTTTTTTTCCTCTTTCGATTAATTTACTGTTTAAGGAGACAGAAATGGGTTTGAAATCTTTTTTAAAAGAACTCATCAAAACGAATTAGACTACAAAGGTAGGGTAAGGCAATTCCAGAAGGAAGCTGGAACAAGATATCCCACAGGGCTGAAACAGGTGGTAGAGATGGAGAGGCAGATCTGGACTCAGCTGCCAATGTGCACATTCATGGAGGCAGACACCAGGTCCAGAGAGTACAGTAACGAACAACAGGTGGTGAACCCAACTAGGACACATGAGAGTAGACTAGCAAGAGGTAGCATATCGTAACAGGCAGGTGAAGCAAGGTGAAAGAGAATCTAGGAACTGGCACCATGCAGGTCCAAGTGGCAGGGAAGCAGGTCAGCAGGGAGCAAAATTCTACTTACCATCTAGAGACTCAGTGGTGGCTCACTTCCTCAGGGCGATATGCAAAGTAGAGACCCAGATGGGTTTCAATGGCCCCTCATATCCTGATTATGAATATATAGATAAATACACACACACACACACACACACACACACACACACAAATACCCTTTGCAGTGCCTTAAAGTACTAAATAAATGGTAACTCAATGAGTGAGTACATGAATGAATTTTTTTAATGTTTTAAGTAATTTAGGCTACTAAAGAGATTTTAGAGGCAGAGAATCATCAAAATCAATATCAAAAATGTGTTACCACTAATCTAACCAAAGCAGCAATAAAGCAAACAAAAATAACGGAAGTCAAAGTTGTCATTATATACATACCTAGAAGATACAGATAAATAAACCAAAAAAATGTGTAAGTAATAAGAAATTCTCTAATTCAGGTGATTGCAAAATAAATATACAAAAACCATAAGCAAACAATTAACATGATAGAAAGAGATAACGGGAAAAATTTGTTCACTGACAATGTCCAAACTATTATAAAATATTGAGAGGGTAAACTTATGGTGCATTTCTGAAGAAAACTATAAAATAGGGAAATTAAAAATATGATTATTTTAAGTCAGAGAGGCCTATTATAAAGAACATCATTCTTCTCCAATTACTTCATAGGTTTAATGTGCTAATTTAAAAATCTTAATAGCATTTAATTGTTCCAAATTTGAAAAAAAAAAACTTGTTAAGTTCATCTAGAAGAATGAATAACTGAGAAATGGGTTTCAACATTCTGATGATTAAAATGATGAAAGAAAAACTGCCCTTTAATATATTAAAATAGTTTATTAAGTAAATAAGTTAAAAGTATGTTATTGAGATGAGAAGCAACCAATACCTCAATGAAACATACAGGTTTTTCTAACACAGTCTGTGTTATAGTTTTCAATAGCAAGGAAATATCACCACCAATGGAAAAATGATGGTAGGCAAGGAAAATAATGGAATCAGGTAAGATATAACCTCATCACCAGAAACCAAAATGGATTATGGAGAAAATAAATCTTAGTATGTCCCAAGGCCTTGTTTTTCTTTAAAGGCCATAAATAATTTCCCCCTTCTCAGGATAATAGCTCATCAACGTTTAATGTCCAATTAATCCTCCAACCCTAATGTTTAGACATTTACATTTTCTCCACAATTTATAATAATTCAAAGATGTGTATCAAGAAACTAAACCTAAATTTTAGGACAATGGACTACTTTGAGTAACCTTACTTCCTGGTACAACACATTTAACAAAAATAGCCTATAATATAATCTGTTATCATTAGGAAGGACTTGTTAAAATAAAATGACGACCAGGTCTGAAAAATTTCTAAGTAGACAAACTCAGTTAGCATTGAAAGTAACCTTAACATTGCTTAGACTACAAAAATAAGCAAAACAAGTTGGGACATTTATTGTAAATGCCAGAATCATTAAAAAAAAATAAGTTTAACAAATCAAAAGCTGCCAGCAATGGAATAGACCAAATATGACAATTGTGTAAGTGTAACTACTCTATTTTCAATTTCTTGTTTCCACATTCATGCTATAAAAGCCTTCCTCTTGCATTTCTTCAGTAGAACTCAAGATGTCCTTCAATTTGGTATTTCCCCAATTTATGCATCACTGATTGCTCAAATAAACTAAAATTTGTATTGTGTCTCAGTTTATCTTTTAATAGTCCTTATTTGTATAACTTAATTTCCCAGGTAATTGAAGCTTAATATTGAGAGCAAGGTACCTGGTTTCCTATTCCAACATCCTCATCTCTGTATTTTAGAAGTGACTCAATCTAATCATAAAGCTCAGCCTCACTCTAGAAAGAATTTAGTCCTTATCCAGGAGAATATTATATTCCTTCAGTACTCTTAGATCGACATCAAGAAAATCTTGCTGTAAATGTAGTGCAGGCCTTGTTTCCCAGTCCTGGAAACTAAGATTCTGTCTTATTTACCAGATGCACTTCTACTTGTACCTAAATTCCTGTTTGTATTTTATTTTCTTAAATATTTATTTTATTTTATCATTACAAAATACAAAATTATTATATAATTTGTGCAAATGACAGAAAAATCTAAAAAGGAAAATGAAATTATATCACGTTAATTCTAGTACCAAAGGGTAGCTATTTTACAATTTTGAGTAATGTTTCCAATCTTTTTCTTTCTGGTCATGGTCGCTAAAAGAAATGCAAGATTTAACGAAGATACCAGATAATTGGGGGATTTATGGCATTGGTTAGAAGTATGACCATTTTGCTTTTAAGGCTTGGGCTTGAATTAAGTGAAATTTATAAAAAATATTTAATAAGTGAATCAATTCAAAAATTGGGTATATTATTAAATCACTGGAAATAAAAGGCTTGTTTTGCTGAGTTTTTCATGATTATGGCTTCTTTTCTAAGAAAATGAATTACTATTTTTAAAATCATGTTTCATTAGTCTCATCTTTTTTCAATTTCCTCAATTTTTTTTTGAAATACTCCACTTCATTTGTTATGGTAAACTATAAAGATATATGTTACATACTTATTTTAATGAACTGTATACATACTGACTACAATCTAACTCCACCAAACAGGAACTTATTACTTGATTTTTTTTCTTTTCTTTCTTTCTTTCCTTTTCTTTTTATTTGAGACATGGTCTCTCTCTGTCACCAGGCTGAAATGCAGTGGCGCGATCTTGGCTGACTGCAACCTCTGCTCCCTGGGTTCAAGCCATTCTCCTGCCTCAGCCTGCAAGTAGCTGAGACTACAGGCACCTGCCACCATGCCAGGCTAATTTTTGTATTTTTAGTAGAGACAGGGTTTCACCATGATGGCCAGGATGGTCTCAATTTCTTGACCTCGTGATCCGTCCGCCTCAGCCTCCCAAAGTGCTGGGGTTACAGGCGTGAGCGATAGTGCCCAGCCTGATTTTTAATATACCATATAATCTAGCAGTAGACGTTACAGTGATATAGAATACTTCGTACTTTAGTATGTCAAGGTAGGTGGTAATACACCAAGGAAAGGTCATTATGTTAACTTCTAAAACAAATACAATTATAATTTGATATATGTTTATGCAAATTTAATTCCAACAAAGAATTATTTATAAAACAACAATATGTGAGGCCAAGTGACCTATCCTAGCATTTCTTTTCTGTATGTTTGCTCTCACTTTAAATGTACAATATGAAGATTTGGGGCTGATATTAACTCTCCTAGGGATATTGTGAACAGAGTTAATATACCTAAAGAACTTTAAATAATAACTGGCTCACAGTTCGTACTTAAATAGACTGATGTTTATCATCTCTATCACTGTATGAGAATTTGGACTTTACAGGAATTGAATTGCAGTTTTATTTCTTCTTGACATTGTATTCTAGAACCCATGTTTTAAAGTAGAACTTTATGTAAGAAAAGGAGTTATATTACATAGAGTGAACAAAGTGATTTATAATTTAAGTGATACTTATTTCTACTAATGTAAAATCATTTAACTGTATTTGAGAGAAATTTATGCTTACTAATAGGCAAGGTTCATTCCCATTTGAAATAAAAATGACTTTAGATTGGAAATTTCATTACTCTTCCTTTCATGTCTTTCATGTCATACTTTAGAATTAGAGATGGGTTTTTAATCACTTGCTGGCTTTTCTTTTATCTAACTTGAGTGCATTTATCAATCATTAAACATAAAATAGGTGTTGGGCATTGTGCTAGGCCAAAAGTTCTCAGCCGTGTCTGTACATTTTAATCATTTTCCGTTTCCCAGGTGATTCTATTGTGCAGTCACGTTTAAGAACCATTAGGCTGGACACATTTAATCTCATCAAAATTTCTATGAGCATCTACAGAAATATTCTGGTTCAGTTGAGCTGCTGTGGATCTCTGGAATTCAAATTTGAACAAGTTCCCTCAGGGATTCTGATACAATTGATCACAGGATTATTACTTAAGAAAACCTGAGTCCTGATTATGTCAATTGCACCATATAGTCTAATGTGATCATTTCACAGGCTTCTTATAAAGTATTTTACAAAATTATTTTAAGGTAAACTAAAATATTTGTATTACTACAAATTGTAAAGAAGAAACGTGAAGGATACAAAAAGATGAGATAAGGATTAGTTTTCCATGTGGGGTTCCATACTGCTCTGACTACCTTCGGGTACCCATCAAACTCTGAATCAGCAAAGTTTGGGAGGTGACAAGGTAGCAACACAGATTAGCTTCTGATGACTCTTTTGTAGAGTGAGCAAAGGTAACGTAACCACATGTCTTGAGATCCTCACACTTATGAGGCCAGCTAGATGAAACAATGACTCATTGACACAGAGACTGAGGACATCAAAGATGGCCAGGTATGCAGGAGCGAGATGACTAGGAACAAGTAGCCCACCACTGCTGTTAAAACACACAGTCAATAAATAATCATACTCACCTATAGAACAATAGCATGAAGGTCTGATTGGTGTACTATAATTTGGCTGTAACAGCTAGACTTGTGTCTAAAGCTTAGCTATTTTAGCTGCAGGAAAAAAAAAAAAGTGTTGTTACAAAGTGTATTTTGAGTAGAGAACTTTTGGTCCCATAAAGGTTTCAGGAACTTCTGCCCAAACAAAAGTTTTGGCAGAACTACTTTCAAAGAGAGTAAATGAGCATTATGTCTTGTGCTGATTTAAATATGCACCTTTTGAGCAAAACATCATAAAATTTAAGCAAATATCAAATAGAAATAAAAATTTAAAATTCTAATAAGAAAAATGCCATTTCAAAACATTCTCAGGCCTGGTGTGATGGCTCATGCCTGTAATCCCAGCACTTTAGGAGGCCAAGATGGTTGGATCACATGAGGTCGGGAGTTCAAGACCAGCCTGACCAACATGGAGAAACTCTGTCTCTACCAAAAATACAAAAAAAAAAAAAATCCGGGTGTGGTGGCACATGCCAGTAATTCCAGCTACTCAGGAGGCTGAACCTGGGAGGTAGAGGTTGTGGTGAGCTGAGATCGCACCATTGCACTCCAGCCCGGATGACGAGAGTGAAACTCCATCTCAAAAAACAATAATAATAATAACCTTCTCATAGATGATAAAAGGTTTTGACAACTATTAACACTTTTATTCATCCACTCACAAAAATTACATAGTATCTATCTTAAAACAGATAGCCTTCTGTAATCTGTACTGATTATTGCATATTTTCTGCCCTATGTAATGGATGGTATGAACAATAAGCACTATAAGGCAATGTGATAAATTTTAGGATATATGTAAGCACAGAATCAGATATTATAATCAGTATAAGCTATGAAAAGTGAATATGCTTTAATGATCTACACACACAAATAGTCTCCTAATGAATATTTCCTTACAGACTGAATTTTGAAGTAGAAGAACTTAGGAAACAACATCAGAAACTTCCAAACTTTTTGTGACTTATGTGCTTTGTCCACCAAATTTTATTCCCAAGGAAGCAAGTCACTAAAAAGGAGATGTAGTTTACCCTAAAGCCTTCTGTGTCAACCCAATATTTTAAGCATTTTAAATAATTCCAGAGTGCGCATTGATTTTCAAAACCCTGTGATTTTTTTAAAGAGTTGATTTTGATAGAAGTCTAATGGTCAATTATGAACTCAGAATGGCTTCACAATCTCACTTTCCCCCTTACAGCTTTTCCCGCTCTTGCACACACTCTCTCTCTTCCTCCTCCTTATCACCCTCATTCTCTCTGTTTCTTTCTCCATTATTTGTTTTTAAGAGACTATTCAAAGTCGCAGAGTCTCAGAGCCTTATAAAGGTCTTGCTGTGCACTTCTGAAGGTAGATCTAAATTATTGCACCCTCAGAAAAATTTCATGCTAATCTTATAAGATTTTGTAAGATTGTGCTTCATTTTTTCCCTGTGGCTGAGGTTACTGCTATGATGATGTACTTATAAAACTCTTTAAGTAACTTATCACCACCAAAAACAGTATTACAGTATTATCATCTATCCAAAAGCTGATTTTAATCATCACTTTGATTTTCAAAACATAACTTATTCCATTGAGAAGTCTGGGCTTTTCTTCAAAGTAGGGAAAAAATAAGTTTTTTGGTGAATTGACATGGATAAGATTAAAGAAAAATTTCTGCTATTAGAGATTTAGAAAACTATTTAGAATACCAAATCCTCAAAGAAGTAAAAATAAAGTTTGGGAACATAAGAAGTCTAGATATTCTAGAATCATATACTTAAGATTAAAGAATTAATATCTGGAAATGACTTAGTTCTTTCTAAAAGGCAGCATATGTTCTTAGTGCTATTGTGTCATAACATAATTTAAAATCTAAAAGACTAAAGCACACTAACGAATCTGAACAAAACAGTAAAAGGACATCGAAACAATCAAGCATCATTTATTACGCTTATATCATTTTTAAGCATAGCAACCACAAAACAATTGCTGCCTTTTGGCAAGCCTCAAATATAAACATTTCCAGGAACAGCACAACAGATTGGTAAAGGGCAATGCAACCCTTGATTCTTGCATTCTTTCTTTGTGATGTGATGATTCTCACTAACCCAAAACAAAAACTGACACACAAGAAAAGAGCATATTGTGCCATGGAAAAATCATACCATTGCATGGTCCAACTTTATTTAATTACAAAACAAATATTAGACACATCTGCAGCCATTCCTTATACTATTCATTTTATGCCCTTCAATCCTCAAAATGAGGGTGCTTTCCGATCATGAATAAAAATTTGCAAAGTCGAGCATATTTCACAAAGGAATACAATAATCATTATCTGTTGCCTGCAATCTGTCAGTGCTTCAGTCATGGCTGTGAAATGAGTGTACTCACACAAGTGTGCACACAAGCCACTAAATGAAAAAAAGATTTTTCTGTAAGCAGTTTATAACTAGGGATCTATTGGATTTACTCAGGACAGGTGTGTGAAAAGATTCAGGTCAAGAAAGGAGGCATTGACATAGATTTATTGCTTTCATGACCATTAAGTCTTGATAGAGAGAACTAATTGATTTTGCTCTTTTCACTTTTTAAGAGGTCAAGCTAAAGTTCTTTTTTTGAGAGTGGGTAATGGAACAAGTGGCAAACTGAACTAAGGACTCTGTGACATATATTAGAATTCTGGTGTTATTTGGTCCTCTGAACACAGAAGGAATGCCCAACAAAGAGCCATATCAGAAAAGTATGTAAAATCTTAAAGTGCTACAACAGCTGAGTGCAGAGAATAGTTCTATTGAAAGAAAATTAATGAACAAGTGTCAAAATGGACAGTTGGTGTCAATTCCTATAGGATTTGGATGTGAGAAGTGGAGTTGAGGAAACCATGTTAATAAGCTCTTGTTTGCATGACAAGATCATCGTACCTCACCAAATATCCATCATAGGAGTTATGCTTGTCACAGTTCACATTAAAGTGTTTCACAGAACAGAATGCTTTACTGTGGGCCATGTAAGCACCTTATTTTGTTGATCTCCAACAGCATATGATCATCTATTTTCTTGGAAACAAATTTAGAAAGGAATTCTACCCTCAGCCTATGTGGTAATTCTTGGACCAGACTGTGCCCATCATTTTGAGAAAGAAAAGACCCTTTCAAGCCCGAGTTGACTTATTGCTAAGTGAGTTTAAAATTTGTTTACAAACCACGATGTTTTGTTTCAGCCTCAGTAGTAATCCCATTTAAAACTAAATTCTCTCTATTCTGTCAACTAACAAATGAGTAGAAATAAGTGTTTTTTAAATTTCTGATTATTAAATCTCACTTAAAAAAAGCTTAATTAAGATGAATTAAAAATTTCAAGTGTATTCCATCTCAGGAATACTTTATATGAAAGATATTTCTTAATAAAGGCTTTCTTTATAAATGGCTCACATAAAATAATTTGTTAAACTTCAATATAAATTATGTTATTAAACCAAATATTGCAAAAATAATTATACTGAAGTGTAATTTATTTCAGCAAATCTAAATAATGGGAGACTAAAAAAATTAAATTTCTCTTCCAAAAGATCCTGGAATGTCTTTTTCCATGTGCTCCTTTGTAGATAGATAAGATCAGTATTTGTTTTTATTTTTCTCTTTAATCTGCATCAACCACACTTACATTTAGCCTTCTCAATAGTTAAGACACCTCAATAATTTCAAGTGATCATAAAAGCCTCAAAACATGTCATGTCCAATGTGAAAAGACTTTCCCATCAAGGAGCATTAGATATGGCTAGTTGTTTAGAGGATCTGTGTATTGGTTCTAGACATCTTCTACCTGCTGAGATCTCTTGGTCATTTACAGCCCCAGTCCTTGTAACTACTGTAAGTGGAGCACATTAGTTCACTAATTGGGGGAAAAAGAGAGACAGGACATAAGAGTATTGCATAACTTAGTATTTGGAAAATGTTCATCTATTTTCTTGGAAACAAATTTAGAAAGGAATTCTACCCTCAGCCTATGTTGTAATTCTTTTTTTTCTTTTCTTTTTTTTGAGACGGAGTTTCGCTCTTGTTACCCAGGCTGGAGTGCAATGGCGCGATCTCGGCTCACCGCAACCTCCGCCTCCTGGGTTCAGGCAATTCTCTTTCCTCAGCCTCCTGAGTAGCTGGGATTACAGGCACGCGCCACCATGCCCAGCTAATTTTTTTTGTATTTTTAGTAGAGACGGGGTTTCGCCATGTTGACCAGGATGGTCTCTATCTCTTGACCTCGTGATCCACCCGCCTCAGCCTCCCAAAGTGCTGGGATTACAGGCATGAGCCACCGCGCCCGGCATCCTATGTTATAATTCTTGGACCAAACTGTGCCCATCATTTTGAGAAAGAAAAGACCCTTTCAAGCCCAAGTTGACTTATGATAGCCCTATAATGGTGTGCCAACTTATTCCACCTTTTTCATTTTGCTTCTCACTGTGTGTTTTAAAACAATGAAACAGACCGTGTGTTTTGAGCATCTTCATATGAACATCTATTTTGTGACCTCTGAGACAGACTGCCTGTACATAGTAGTGAACATGGAAAATATCACTGTGTCATTATTTGCTAATAGGGAAATACATAGGTCCAAATCTCAGCCATCAGCTACCAACATGCCTCTTTTGGACATGCGACTGAAAAACTAACAAAGAAACAAAAAAAGCAGAAGTTACCCTGAAGTTTCCCAAATAAACACTCAAAGCTCCTCTAAGGTAGGTAGCTCCTGGAAGATGATTCTTTTGGTCACTGTAAGGAGATTTAGAGGAAAAGCTTCTCTTTAATTATATGAATCACTGCCACATGAACCAGGTTTAAGAGTATGGCGTGTGATCATGGGCAAATAGGTTAACTTCTCTTTGCATTCTGTATTTTTAAAATAGAATCAATTATATAATATACTTGGCACAGTATTGTGAAGATGTAATGAGATCATTTATTTGAACATATAAATTTATATTATATGTTCATATATATTTCAACATATAAGGGCCCGCAACTTATTTTGTTTCAGAGTTGAATAATGGCTACAACTTTACAAAATAAAAAA